CAAGAATAATAACAACAACAGGCTAGAATCAGGTTCTCTAGGTTCAGCTCGGAGGAAAAATGGGCTGCTCAATGAACCACACACAACAAATATATTGAGCTCAGTTGTGTTTAGTTATTGTACAGTGAAGTCATATATACATTATTTACAATTTGTGCACAGTTCATTATGTTCCATTTCATCCATAAGAGTCCATTTCATGTAATCCAATTTCAAAGGATAAAAGCAGGTTCTTGTGAAAGATTTAGTCCACAGTCTCAGTTCACATTCACACACGGGTTGGGTGTGAGTGTAGTGTGTGTGTGGGGAGCGGCTGCAGCGCCTCCTACCGCACTAGCAGAGTCAATGGTCTTTGTCGTCTTTTCCAGACTTAGCTCGCCATCCAGAATAGGAACCTGGCCTGTGCGTACAGACAGGACCATACATAAGTGACACAATTTATCAAGCATCACAATTCATAACTAACAAACAATATATCATCATTCATAGATTATTTCATCATCATATCATTAAAATCACTATTAAACCAAGTACAATAATCATTGCAATCAATAACACGTATTAACAGTGATAGGAGCGATCCAACTGGCGCCAGCACCAATATGAATACGCTCATACAGTTGAATGGGCGTTAGCATTTAGCATGTTAGCTCCGCTTGTAAACAAATGCAACACTCACCAGTTCTCTGTATATTTTGGCAGATCAAAATAATGCACAGCCCTTCCGCAGTTGGCAAGAGGCGTCTGCAATGTTGGAGGCATAACAGTGACCCTTATACTTCCATAATTAGCGTAAATAATGGTTTAGATGCCTACCTGCAACAGCTCTAGCACTCGAGTCCCACACGGCTAATACTAGATGGCGGCGGCCATCTTTAAACCCACGACTAGCCCAAGTCTCGCACAGATGCTGAAATATCGCGAGAATTGCGGAGGGAAGGAAAATACTCTGAAAAATTAACCAGGTTACAAACAGGCAATATTTTCTGCAGTGTGTCTTTCCTGGAGGGGCATTGTTGTCAGGTTAATTGAGGTCAGCTCCCACTCATCATTAACAAAGTGAACGGTGACACCAAGGTAAGCTTCAATGGCCATACTGGTCCATGCATCAGTTGTGAGTGTTAGTTTTCCTTTCACATTTTTCAAGATTGCCTTTACTTCCTCCATTTTTTTGTGTGTATTTTTGCTCCATAAGCTTAGTGAAGTGGGTTCTTGATGGTAATGTGTAGCCAGGGTGAAACCTTTTTTAATCATTTTTTTTAAACCCTTCCCCATCTATTTTATTTAATGGCCTCATGTCCACAACAATCATCTCCAGGACACCGTCAGTCAATTCAGCGGCCATTTGGGGTGTACATTCATCAGTCCCATGCCTCTTCGGGAAAAAATCCTGAACGCTGGTTTGTCGTTTGCTGCAACATAAGAGATATTTAATTTTCATTTTAAATATACCCAACTACAGCTTACTTTAATACAAAAGATGAATTAAACTACACACATTATATTGTTAAATTGATTTAATAACACAATGATTGTATGATTAAAGTTAATTGTTCGTTTGTACATACAGTAACTGTTAATGTTGTACAAAGGTAGTTTAGTTAACGTTACGTAACTAACGTAACGTTATGTAGCGATAGACAGACGCGTTTTTGACGCCTCTCAGAGCAAAACAGTGCTTTAGTTTATGAATTTACAACGCAGATACAAATAATACATTAATGTTTTTGTGTAATGAAAAATACTCGCGCGGCCGATTGACAGGTTGATGGCGATGGCATGAACGCTGTCTGGTGTTTTCGTTTTAAATGTTCGTTCATAGCCGTTGTGCTGCTGTGGTAGGCCATTTCCGCTCGACACGGTGTGCATAAAACATTATTTGGCCGTTTCTGGAAATACTCCCACACTTTTGATGACTTTTGGCGTGCCTTTTTCCCCTCGCTCGCATCGCCAGCATCGCGCGCCGCCATGATGTAAACAAGCGACGCGTCGACGCACAAACTGCGATTACGTCGACGCGTCGTTTCAGCCTTAGTGCTGACTGCTCTGTACAATCGGAATGGGACCTGTAGCAACAGCAGCCTGTGCTTGTCAGGATACGGCCTGGGAATAGCTAATGCTAGCGCTAGCTCGAGGCTCAGCTCACTCACTAACCCTGGATTCCAAAGCTACAACTGTACTACACTTAACACATCTATCACTACCCTCAGAGGAGGATCCAGGGTTTAAACTCGTCATATGGCAACTCAAGCAGTAAAGGACGGAGGAATAGACTGAAGCAGCCATAGGGGTAGTGAGTTTGCGGCTAGGCTAGGCTAGGCTCGTCCGGACCCGGGTCCAGTACAGCAGACTCCGAGACCAGACAAACAACCGATACCCAAACCTCAGCTACAATAGTTATTTCAGAGTGCTTACAAAGTTAGCTTGTTGTAGACTAATACTTGGATTTATCAAAGGTTAATGCAAACAGAGAGCAGAGGGATAACGATCAAAACACGCTCACCGGACATACAGATTTAGACTTGGCACAATCCTTTATAAATGAATGAAACACAGTCTTTGGATACAATCACAGATTTATTAAAAACAAACGTAAAGTGCAAAAAGAGGGTTACGTATGTAACCACGGTTCTATGAATCCAGGATGACCGCCAGAGGGCGGTGCATAGCACTGAATGGGCGGTGCATAGCACTGAATGTTCTCTTCGCGCATGTGCAGCTCGAGTAATAATACCAAATGAGTCACACCTGTGACCCCCTGGATGACACACCGGAGGTAATAAAGTCCAGCGTCATCCAGCACTCTGTTCCTGCAGAATCTTCTCACGGACGCAAGGACCCTGAGTGACGGAGCGCCTCTGGCGGTCATCCGGGATTCATAGAACCATGGTTACATACGTAACCCTTGTTCTATTTCATCCCTTCTGACCGCCAGAGGGCGGTGCATAGCACTGACTGACCTTATACCAGCTATGTCACAAAGGATCTTGACCACACACCTCACGGAGGAGAGCCAGAGGATTCCTGAAGGACCACGCCAAGAGGAGCCGGAGTGGCCACATTCATGTTGTAGAATCTGGTGAACGTGCTTGGTGTAGCCCAAGACGCAGCAGCACAAATAGTTCCCAACGGCACCCCGCTCATAGCGGCCCAGGAGGTAGAGACACCCCTGGTAGAATGGGCCCTCACCTCGGCTGGCGGGTCGCGGCCGGCCGAAACATACGCCTGACTGATAACGTCAACCACCCAGTGGGAAAGGCGTTGCTTCGAAAGTGGACTTCCCAGTCTAGCACTACCATAAGCAACAAAGAGCTGGTCTAAGCGCCTCACACCCGCCGTCGCAGCAACGTAGGCCTCAGCAGGTCCCACTGGCAAACTACCACCGTCGCCAGACGAAGGCAGCTGAACCAGCCTCGCCACCCTGACAGCCCAGGGCAAGCAGCTGCAGTTCATGCACGGGTTATCGGACACGGCCTCCCTCAAGTGAGTGAGTGTGAACCGCACGCGAGAAGGAAAAAAGGAACAGTGCTGGTTGACGCTGGACTTTATTACTTCTGGGGCGTCATCCAGGGGGTCACAGGTGTGACTCATTTGGTATTATTACTCGAACTGCGCATGCGCGAAGGGAACATTCAGTGCTATGCGCCGCCCTCTGGCGGGCAGGAGGGATGAAATAGAACCATCAGTTTCAAATTACGTTTAAAAGTATGTGTGAGACCAGATGAGGAGTTACTCCAGTCACTCATTGCTCGTTGGTAATCTCCACACTTATGGAAAGGGATTCTCATACAAATATACACACGACAACTTAAATACAAGCACAAAACAGAATGACAACACGTGAATACTGCAGATAATACGAGATAAAGCACAGTAGCACAGGAAGGATGTTAGCTTAGCTTGCCATCGATAGCTAATTGACGCTAAATCTAGCTAGCTCACTGTGTACAACAGACACTCAATGTGTCTGTTGTACACATGTACACATGTACATAGTAAATACATTTCAGTGAGAGCTTTGGGCCAACGGGATTTGTAGCTAACCAGTTATTTCCAGCATTACCACAGACTAGTCACAAATCCAGAGCTGGGTGAACCCCCCCGAAAACTGTGAGCCTCGAGCTGCCTTTGAATTTTCTTTGGCCTGAAGAGAGCTTGTGGACCTCGTCCACCGACCAGGGCGCTGACTTTTGGGGCTTTCTGTGCGATTCCATTTCTCTGGAGTGAGGAGGACGTAATGTAGCCGAAGCAGAGCAGCCAGTTTAAAAGATGGCGGTTGAGTTGTTTTTCCCAAAGGGTCAGATGTCGCTTCCAGTGACGACACTCGTTGACTAATCAGTGTAAGGCAGTGGGCCGACGTCGCGTCATGGTACCGGTACTACGGAGATGGAACCACGGCTGAGGCAGTACGGAAAAGCACGCAAATCCCCGATACCATCCACTAGTGGAAACGCAAAATAACCCCGCTGAAGCGTACTGTACTTTACCGTACTGATACTGTGGAAAAGCGGCATTAGGCTGCATCCCAATTCAAACAAGTCTTAGAAAAGAAGTATTGTATGAATTCAGATGCATCCCGTGTCTTTGAAGTGAATGAATTTCTGGTCCGTAACTTTAGTCTCATTCATAACAGCCTTGTAAAATGATTTGAACAAATCTAATGAGAAAACATCTTTTGTGTCAGCTGAGGGTAGTCCTCGCTTTGATCTAAAGATGTGACAGAAACGCATGGAACTAGACGGAAGCAACTGTTTCACTCAAACTCCCTTTAAAAAGACCTCTTCATACTAACGTCTGGTGTGACTCACAGATCCTAATGATCCACACTGATCACTGCTGCTACACACATAGTATATACACAGACACACAGTGTGTGGGCCTTGAGAAGCAGCAGATGTGTTGCATTCCAAATGTTCCTGTGTTAATCTATTCATTTGATTATTTATTTTTATCATTTATGTTAATTTGATATTTGTTTGAGTGACTTCGTTCCTCTGCAGACGCAGACATGCTAACTCGCTCAGCTCTCCCTCTGAGGACGCACAGCCCCCTGGTGGTGGATGTGCAGAAGTGCGGGTCCCCACCACTGCACTGCACACCTTTGTGAGTCACATACTACAGCACTATTACCGAGTACTACAATACTTAAATCTGTCTCTGTTCAGGAAGCTCACGATGGAGAAGTGAACGCTGTGAAGTTTAGTCCAGGATCCAGACTCTTAGCAACTGGAGGAATGGACCGACGAGTCAAACTGTGGGAGGTTGTGGCAGGTGAGGACTGCTACATGTCTCGCTCTCTCTGGTCTCTCTCTCTCTGGTCTCACATGGACTTTCTTCAGGTCGGTGTGAAGCTAAAGGTGCTCTGACCGGGAGTAACGCAGGAATCACCAGCATAGACTTCAACAGTGCGGTGAGTGTGGCAACCTCTGACCTCTGTCCTCTGACCTCTGTCCTCTGACCTCAGTCTCTGACCTCAGGGTTCATATCTTCTTGCCGCTTCCAACGACTTCGCCAGCCGCATCTGGACCGTGGAAGACTACAGATTGCGGGTGAGTGCTTAAGATGGTCTCTGTCTCTCTGGTCTGTCTCTCTCTGGTCTTTCTCTCTGGTCTATCTTTCTGGTCTCTCGCAGTCTCTCTGGTCTATCTCTCTGGTCTCTGTCTCTCTCTGGTCTCTCTTCACAGCACACCCTGACCTCTGACCTTTCTCCGCAGCACACCCTGACGGGTCACAGTGGTAAAGTCCTTGCGGCTCGGTTCCTGTTGGACAATGCTCGCATCGTCTCCGGCAGCTACGACCGCACTCTGAAACTGTGGGACTTGAAGAGCAAAGTCTGTACGTTACTGTGATGTCACACTGTGTTGTCCCAGTGTGTTGTCACACTGTGATGTGACACTGTAGGCTGACATCCTGGTGATGTCATTCTGGTGATGTCATAGGTATGAAGACTGTCTTCGCCGGCTCCAGTTGTAACGACATTGTCTGCACAGAGCAGTGTGTGATGAGCGGACACTTTGACAAGAAAGTTAGATTCTGGGACATCAGGTACACACGCACACTGGTACACACACAGGTACACTCACACACAGAGGTACAGAGAGACAGTGGTTCTCACCACCTTCTTGTCCTCCTTCTCACATCCTCCTGGTCCTCTTTCTCATGTCCTCCTGTTCCTCTGCCTCACCTCCTCCTGGTCCTCCTCAGGTCAGAGAGCATTGTTCGGGAGCTGGAGCTCCAGGGCAGAGTCACATGTTTGGACCTGAACCCTGAGAGGACCGACCTCCTTAGCTGCTCCAGGGATGATGTCATCAAGATCATCGACCTGCGGAGCATAGCAGTGAGGCAGACCTTCAGGTACTACTGCAAAGGAATGCATTGGTTTTATATATCGCTTTTCAGGACACTCAGACAATTCACATATTATTATTTTAAAATAGAATGATACTTTATTTAGGAGAGGTAAAATAAAAAAATTATCATTCTTTCACTCCAAACACGATGATAAACTACTACTGTAGCCACAGCTGCCCTGGGGCAAACTGTCAGAAGTGAGGCATCCAGTCTGTGCCACCACCAACAATCATTCACACACACCAGACTGATTCTAATGTAGGTGAAATGTCTTGCCTAAGGACACAACCACAGTTTGGCACTTTACATCCGCAGCCGCCCCACTGTGGCACCTGGTGTTCCCAGAGGTCTCCCATCACAGTACTAACCAGCTTCTGCCCTGCTTAGCTTCAGATGTCTCTAATCACTAACTCTCTCTGTTCAGTGCGCAGGGTTTTAAGTGTGGAGCCGACTGGACCAGAGTCACCTTCAGGTACAACTCTCTGATCCTCCTTGTCTCTCACCTCCTCCCTCTCCTCTCTCCTCTTCCATTCACCTCCTCCTCTCCACACCCTCACTCTCCTGTCTCCTCTCCTCTCACCTGCTCTCTCCTGTCTCCTCTCCTGTCTCCTCTCCTCTCCCTCTCTCTCCTGTCACTACTTCTCTCTCCTCCTCTCAAACCTCTCTCTCTTTCTCTTCAGTCCTGATGGCTGTTATGTTGCTGCTGGATCAGCAGATGGCGCTCTGTATGTGTGGAATGTGCTCACAGGGAAAGTCGACCGAATCCTGGACCGAAACCACAGGTATTGTCTCAAAGATCCTGGGAGTCACTCTCTGACTGTTTGGGCTGAGACCCTGGGAGTCACTATCTGCCTCTTTGGGCTGAGAGCTGATTGGCTGACAGTGTTGGACAGCGACTTCATAAACATAATGTGTGACTTTACTTCTAGTTAATACTGTTGGACAGATGTGTCTCCTGCTGATGTTGCGGTGCTGAAGATCAAAACAAAACACTTTAAGTTGAAATTGAATGTTACTGACCTTTTGAACTGAGACAAACATCACAGGTTTTAATGTCGTACATCACAGCGATACAGAAACAAGTACAAAGGGGGGTTGGGTGTGTGAGTGTATTTACAGTGCCTTGCGGAAGTATTCGGCCCCCTTGAACCTTTCAACATTTCGCCACATTTCAGGCTTCAAACATAAAGATATAAAATATTTTTTTGTCATGAATCAACAACAAAAAATTGGGGACACAATCGTGAAGTGAAACCACATTTATTGGATAATTTAAACTTTTTTAACAAATAAACTGAAAAGTGGGGCATGCAATATTAATCGGCCCCTTTACTTTCAGTGCAGCAAACTCAGTCCAGAAGTTCAGTGAGGATCTTTGAATGATCCAATGTTGCCCTAAATGACTGATGATGATAAATAGAATGCACCTGTGTGTAATCAAGTCTCCGTATAAATGCACCTGCTCTTTGATAGTCTCAGGGTTCTGTTTAAAGCGCAGAGAGAACCATGAAGACAAAGGAACACACCAGGCAGGTCCGAGATACTGTTGTGGAGAAGTTTAAAACCGGATTTAGCTACAAAAAGATTTCCCAAGCTTTAAACATCTCAAGGAGCACTGTGCAAGCAATTATATTGAAATGGTAGATTTGTAGTGGTCTGATACTCCTTCCAAGACCCGGCCGTCCCTCCAAACTTTCATCTCAAACAAGGAGAAGACTGATCAGAGATGCAGCCAAGAGGCCCATGATCACTCTGGATGAACTGCAGATAACTACAGCTGAGGTGGGAGAGTCTGTCCATAGGACAACAATCGGTCGTGCACTGCACAAATCTGGCCTTTATGGAAGAGTGGCAAGAAGAAAGCCATTTCTCAAAGATATCCATAAAAAGTCTTGTTTAAAGTTTGCCACAAGCCACCTGGGAGACACACCAAACATGTGGAAGAAGGTGCTCTGGTCAGACTTTTTGGCCACAATGCAAAACGATATGTTTGGCGCAAAAGCAACACAGCTCATCCCCCTGAACACACCATCCCCACTGTCAAACATGGTGGTGGCAGCATCATGCTTTGGGCCTGCTTTTCTTCAGCAGGGACAGGGAAGATGGCTAAAATTGATGGGAAGATGGATGGAGCCAAATACAGGACCATTCTGGAAGAAAACCTGTTGGAGTCTGCAAAAGACCTGAAACTGGGATGGAGATTTATCTTCCAACAGGACAATGATCCAAAACATAAAGCCAAATCTACAATGGAATGGTTCACAAATAGACGTATCCAGGTGTTAGAATGGCCAAGTCAAAGTCCAGACCTGAATCCAATCGAATCTGTGGAAAGAGTTGAAGACTGCTGTTCACAAACGCTCTCCATCCAACCTCACTGAGCTCGAGCTGTTTTGCAAGGAAGAATGGGCAAGAATTCCAGTCTCTCGATGTGCAAAACTGATATAGACATACCCCAAGCGACTTGCAGCTGTAATTGCAGCAAAAGGTGGCGCTACAAAGTATTAGCGCAAGGGGGCCGAATAATATTGCCCGCCCCACTTTTCAGTTTTTTATTTGTTAAAAAAGTTTAAATTATCCAATAAATTTCGTTCCCCTTCACGATTGTGTCCCTCTTGTTGTTGATTCTTGACAAAAAAAATATGTTTTATATCTTTGTTTGAAGCCTGAAATGTTGAAAGGTTCACGGGGGCCGAATACTTTCGCAAGGCACTGTATGTTGGGATGGGTGGACCCATGGGAGGGAGGGGACAACTAATTTAAAATGTTCACATTTATTTTCTGCTTCATAACCATTGTCTTTTTTGTATACAGCGCAACGCAATAAATACCCGAGCTTTAAACCGGCCCTAACCCTCTTTCTTTTTCTCTGTCCTCTCTCCCCTCTCTCGTTCGCTCCTGCAGCTCAGCCATAAACTCAGTCTCGTGGTCACCGTCCGGAGCATACGTGGCAAGTGTGGAGAAGGGCAGCCGCGCCATCTTGTGGTCAGACATGTGACCTGCAAGATCCAATCAGCACGAAGCTTGTGTGACCTGCAGAGGAGGACTGTGATTGGAGCTTTTGTTTTAAATGAACTGTGTCCAACGTCTGTGTGAAACGCTCAATAAATACAGGCTTTATGTATGTCCCCAGAACGCTCTGTGCTAAGTCTGTCCTAGAGACTGTCTACACATGCTAACCTGCTAGCTAAATGCTAACCCGCTAGCTTAATGAAGCCAATAGAGGTGTAAAGTCCTCTCGCCCAGTAACTGTGTCACTCACCATTTTGGTTTAAATCTGTGGTCGGGGTATGATTCTACAAACATCTCACAGAAAACTGTTCAAACATCGGTTCATGGTTCATGTGCTCATTGACCTCTGTCCATTATTCAGAAATGGACATTTTATTTACAGTGCCTTGCGAAAGTATTCGGCCCCCTTGAACCTTTTAACATTTTGCCACATTTCAGTCTTCAAACATAAAGATATAAAATTTAAATTTTTTGTCATGAATCAACAAGTGGGACACAATTGTGAAGTGGAACGAAATTTATTGGATAATTTAAACTTTAACAAATAAACTGAAAAGTGGGGCGTGTAATATTATTTGGCCCCTTTACTTTCAGTGCAGCAAACTCACTCCAGAAGTTCAGTGAGGATCTTTGAAGGATCCAATGTTGTCCTAAATGACTGATGATGATAAATAGAATGCACCTGTGTGTAATCAAGTCTCCGTTTAAATGCACCTGCTCTTTGATAGTCTCAGGGTTCTGTTTAAAGCGCAGAGAGAACCATGAAGACAAAGAAACACACCAGGCAGGTCCAAGATACTGTTGTGGAGAAGTTTAAAGTCGGATTTGGATACAAAAAGATTTCCCAAGCTTTAAACATCTCAAGAAGCACTGTGGAAGCAATTATATTGAAATGGAAGGAGTTTCAGACCACTGTAAATCTACCAAGACCCGGCCGTCCCTCCAAACTTTCATCTCAAACAAGGAGAAGACTGATCAGAGATGCAGCCAAGAGGCCCATGATCGCTCTGGATGAACTGCAGATAACTACAGCTGAGGTGGGAGAGTCTGTCCATAGGACAACAATCAGTCGTGCACTGCACAAATCTGGCCTTTATGGAAGAGTGGCCATTTCTCAAAGATATCCAATAAAAGTCTCTTAAAGTTTGCCACAAGCCACCTGGGAGAAACACCAAACATGTGGAAGAAGGTGCTCTGGTCAGATGAAACCAAAATCGAACTTTTTGGCCACAATGCAAAACGATATGTTTGGCGTAAAAGCAACACCTGTCAACCAGCAATCACCCTGAACACACCATCCCCACCTCAGCTGTAGTTATCTGCAGTTCATCCAGATAATGGTGTGTCTCCCAGGTGGCTTGTGGCAAACTAAGAGACTTTTATTGGATATCTTTGAGAAATGGCCACTCTTCCATAAAGGCCAGATTTGTGCAGTGCACGACTGATTGTTGTCCAATGGACAGACTCTCCCACCTCAGCTGTAGTTATCTGCAGTTCATCCAGAGCGATCATGGGCCTCTTGGCTGAATCTCTGATCAGTCTTCTCCTTGTTTGAGATGAAAGTTTGGAGGGACGGCCGGGTCTTGGTAGATTTGCAGTGGTCTGATACTCCTTCCATTTCAATATAATTGCTTGCACAGTGCTCCTTGAGATGTTTAAAGCTTGGGAAATCTTTTTGTATCCAAATCCTGCTTTAAACTTCTCCACAACAGTATCTCGGACCTGCCTGGTGTGTTCCTTTGTCTTCATGGTTCTCTCTGCGCTTTAAACAGAACCCTGAGACTATCAAAGAGCAGGTGCATTTATACGGAGACTTGATTACACACAGGTGCATTCTATTTATCATCAGTCATTTAGGACAACATTGGATCATTCAAAGATCCTCACTGAACTTCTGGACTGAGTTTGCTGCACTGAAAGTAAAGGGGCCGAATAATATTGCAAGCCCCACTTTTCAGTTTTTTATTTGTTAAAAAAGTTTAAATTATCCAACAAATTTCATTCCACTTCACGATTGTGTCCCACTTGTTGTTGATTCTTGACAAAAAATTTAATTTTTATATCTTTATGTTTGAAGCTTGAAACATGGCGAAATCTTGAAAGGTTCAAGGGGGCCGAATACTTTCGCAAGGCACTGTACATAGCGCACGCAGCTTAACTGTCCTGTTGCCAGTGATGTCACACATGGTGACGACAGAAGCCTCATCACATTCAGTCTATTGTACATGCTTTTGTGTGAGGGGAAACTGGAGCACCTGAAGGAAACCTACACATACGGGGAGAACATGCAAACTCTATATAGAAAGGCCTGGAAGTGGAGTTGTCTTCCATAAGATACATTTGTCTTGGGACAGGGGTTCACACAGTATTAAACTTGGGCAAAAGCACCATCAGAGAACTCTTTCAAGGGATCTACCTCTAAAAGGGGGTGCTAGGGAGTAACAAGACACTTAACCCCACTTTGCCTGAATCCCCCGCTGAAAGATCAAGGCTCCTGTGGACTCACCACCTGCGGGAGGATCAGTGAGGGGCTGGTGCTCTGTGGACTCAGCTCTGACTGCCTCAATGTATTTATACAGTTGTCTTGGATTTGTGGATTCATCAACAACAGATCAGAGAATCAAGCTGATCCAACACAGGAATTGTTATAACGAACACATGGAGACATCAGCCCAAAGGGACCGGGACTGAGGCTCTAGACCTGTGGTCTCCCTCTGGTCTCTGTCTCTGGTTTTGTAAACATGATCATAAAGCTGGTGTCAGATTATCTCTCTGATCCAGACTCTGCTGACTGCGCTCTGAGGATTAGACTCAGAGCTTCAGGAACCCTCCAGACCAGGACCCAGAGACCAGAGAGAGACCAGGACCCAAGGAACCCTCTAGACCAGGACCAGAGACGACCGAGGCCAGGGAACAGGACCAGAAGGACCTAAAAGCCTCTTCACTCACAGGTGAGATTTAGGAGACTCCGGTCCATGAGGCCACAGAACATCCACAGAAACACATTTACCATCAATCTGTGCAATATAAAACCACTACTGTGACTGCAGAAGACAGGCGTTAACATCACATTATTAATACTATTATTATTAGTAATAACTAGAAACTTGCAATGGCTGAAGCCATTGCGATTGACTGCGGAACAGATCTAATGTGGAAATCTGCTAAAAAAAATCCTTGAAATCCTTTAAAAAGCCTTGAAACTGTTAAAATACTTGATAGATATTTGAAACTCCTGAAGTCCTTGAAATTGTTGAAACCTTTAAACTCCTGAAATCCTTGAAACTGTTGAAACATTGAAACTCCTGAAATCCTTGAAACTTTTTTAAACCTGGAAACTGTTGAAAGTGTGGAAACTCCTGAAATCCTTGAACCTCCTGATATCCTTGAAACTGGTTAAATTCTTAAACAGCTGAAATCCTTGAAACTACTGAATGTATTGAAAGTGTCCTTGAAACTGAAAAATCCCCTCACCGCTGAAACAATTTGGTTCCTGTAACTAAGGAAACCTGGTCTGTGGTCATTATCTGGTGGTGGTCTGAGTCTTCGTTTGGGTCTTGGTCTGGTGGTATAATGCAACCTATTAGGTTGCATTATACTGGTTTACATGTAAAAAACCCTATTAAGTTGCATTATACTGGTTTACATGAAAAAAAAACCCTATTAAGTTGCATTATACTGGTTTACATGGAAAAATCCCTATTAAGTTGCATTATACTGGTTTACATGGAAAAATCCCTATTAGGTTGCATTATACTGGTTTACATGTACAAATCCCTATTAAGTTGCTTTATACTGGTTTACATGTAAAAACCCCTATTAGGTTACATTATAGTGGTTTACATGTAAAAATCCTTATTAAGTTGCATTATACTGGTTTACATGTAAAAACCCCTATTAAGTTCCATTATACTGGTTTACATGTAAAAACCCCTATTAAGTTCCATTATACTGGTTTACATGTAAAAACCCTATTAAGTTGCATTATACTGGTTTACATGAAAAAAACCCTATTAAGTTGCATTATACTGGTTTACATGGAAAAATCCCTATTAAGTTGCATAATACTGGTTTACATGGAAAAATCCCCATTAAGTTGCATTATACTGGTTTACATGGAAAAATCCCTATTAAGTTGCATTATACTGGTTTACATGGAAAAATCCCCATTAAGTTGCATTATACTGGTTTACATGAAAAAAACCCTATTAAGTTGCATTATACTGGTTTACATGAAAAAAACCCTATTAAGTTGCATTATACTGGTTTACATGGAAAAATCCCTATTAAGTTGCATAATACTGGTTTACATGGAAAAATCCCCATTAAGTTGCATTATACTGGTTTACATGGAAAAATCCCTATTAAGTTGCATTATACTGGTTTACATGTAAAAACCCCTATTAAGTTGCATTATACTGGTTTACATGGAAAAATCCCCATTAAGTTGCATTATACTGGTTTACATGAAAAAAAACCCTATTAAGTTGCATTATACTGGTTTACATGAAAAAACCCTATTAAGTTGCATTATACTGGTTTACATGGAAAAATCCCTATTAAGTTGCATTATACTGGTTTACATGGAAAAATCCCTATTAGGTTGCATGATTACACTGAAGTCCTTGAAACTGCTGAAGTCCTTGAAACTGCTGAAGTCCTTGAAACTGCTGAAGTCCTTGAAACTGTTGAAGTCCTTGAAACTCTTGAAATCTTGAAACTGCTGAAATCCTTGAAACTGTTGAATCCTTGAAACTGTTGAATCATTGAAACTGTAGAAATGTCTGAAAGAGCTGAAGTCCTATTAAAATGCATGGGCCTATTAAAATGCATTGCAGAATTCTCAATGCAGATTTTTGTCCGATTGCGGAAAAACCGGAAATCGCTGAAGTCCCAAAAGTAATAGCAATAATCTCCCAAACATGTGGAACGTTTTGATGTATAACTTGTGGAAATTGTTGAAAATGTGAAAGCTGTGAAACGTGTCAAAAAAAATGACGGAATAAAGAAATACAAAACCAATGGTTGACTGCGGAAGGTTCCGCAGTCAATCAATTATAATAATGCTGCATGTTTATCCAGTACTTTTATCATTCACTCCAAACACGGTGGTGATAAACTTCTTCTGCAGCCACAGTTGCCCTGGGGCACACTGACAGAAGCGAGGCAACCAGTCTGTGCCATCGGCCCCTCCCACCACCAACCATTCACACACCAGACTCCTTCTAATGTGGGGGAAGTGTCTGGTCTAAGGATACAACCACAGTTTGTAAGTTTGTGATTTTGTCGAACAGGAAGTGACATCAAAGACGCCATGAGTCCAAGACGAGTCGTGTTTAAGAAAGTGTCGAGGGACAAATCTGTGAGTCATGTGTGTTGTGTATCTGTGTGTGTGTGTGTGTGTGTGTGTGTGTGTAACCTATTTTCTGTGTGTTGTGTATTTCTCGCTGTGTGTGTGTCTCTGTGTGTAGCTTGCTGTGTATCTCCCAAAGAGAGACTTTGTGGATCAGTGCGACAGCGTGGAGCCGATCGGTGAGTGTTCTCTGTCTGGAGGAACAGCAGCTCTACCCCGGGCTCCTCACACTCATCTTGTTTTGTTTCAGAGGGAGTGGTGGTGATCGACCCCCAGCAGCTCAAGGGAAAGAAAGGTCTCAGTATGCATGTCTCAGTATGTCTTAGTATGTCTCAGTATACAGTACATGTCTTAGTATGTCTCAGTATACATGTCTCAGTATACAGTACATGTCTCAGTATGTCTCAGTATACATGTCTCAGTATACAGTACATGTCTTAGTATGTCTCAGTATACAGTACATGTCTTAGTATGTCTCAGTATACATGTCTTAGTATGTCTCAGTATACATGTCTTAGTATGTCTCAGTATACATGTCTCAGTATGTCTCAGTATACAGTACATGTCTTAGTATGTCTCAGTACACATGTTTCAGTATACATGTCTCAGTATACTTGTCTCTCAGTCTACGTGATGCTGGCGTGCACGTTCCGTTACGGGCGCCAGGACATGGATGTGATGGGCGTGGCCTTCAGACGTGACCTGTTCGTTGTGACGCGGCAGCTCTACCCCGAGCTCCAGGACAAGAGTCAGCTGACGCACTCCAGGGTCCAGGAGAAACTGTTGCTCAAGCTGGGCCAGTACGCCTTCCCCTTCTTCTTTGAGGTGTGGAAACCGGACCGGACCAGGCCAGACCGGACCAGACAGTCCCTACTGCACCAGACCGGACCGGACTGGACTGAACTAGACCAGACTAGACGGGATCAGACCAGACACCAATGTGCAACAGACACATACAGCTCCTGGTCTCTGAAGGCCTTCACCAATAACTGTCTCCGTAGCAAAGCATGATGGATGTTGTAGTTTTCTCTCTTTGTTCAGTTCCCAGATAATCTGCCGTGTTCAGTGGAGCTACAGCCAGGACCCAACGACGAGGGCAAGGTCTGTACTAGGACCAAAGAGAGACCAGAGAGGGAGACCAGAGAGGGAGACCAGAGAGGGAGACCAGAGAGGGAGACCAGAGAGGGAGACCAGAGAGGGAGACCAGAGAGGGAGACCAGAGAGGGAGACCAGAGAGGGAGACCAGAGAGGGAGACCAGAGAGGGAGACCAGAGAGGGAGACCAGAGAGAGACAACTGAGAGAGATGACTAGAAAGAGACCAGAGAGGGAGACCAGAGAGAGACCAGAAAGAGAGACCAGAGAGAGTGAGACAAGAGAGAGACCAGAAAGAGAGACCAGAGAGAGTGAGACAAGAGAGAAAGGCAAGAGAGAGACCAGAAAGAGAGACCAGAGAGGGAAACCACAGAGGGAGACCAGAGAGAGAGACCAGACAGAGATGTACAAATGTGTCTTTTTCAGAAATGTGCCGTGGAGTTTGAGGTGAAGGCGTTTTGTGCCGCTCAGCAGGACGAGAAGGTCGAGAGGCAGTGAGTGACCCCTGACCTCCGACCCCAGACCCCTGAACTCTGACCTGTGATGTCGTTTATGAACAAAACAGAAGTCGATAAGATATTACCGTGACTGACTGAGCATTCTAAGCTTTAATTTCATGGACTGGTCTTAGACTTGTGTAGACCCTCTGGGCTGGTCTGGACCGGTCTTGACTGCTCTGGACCGGTCTGGTGTTTTCCCCAGGAGCTCCGTGCGTCTCTCGATCCGTAAAGTTCAGTTCAGTCCGGACTCGGTCGGTCCGGCTCCAGTCGCAGAAACCACCTTCGAGTTTGTGATGTCAGAAAAACCTCTGAACGTCAAGATGTCTCTGCCCAAAGAGGTAGGACCAGGACCAGGACCAGGACCAGGACTAGGACTGAGACTAGGACCAGGACTAGGACTGAGTCCAGGACCAGTACAGGACCAGGACTGGACCAGTACTGGACCAAAACTAGACCCAGACCAAACCCAGACTGAGACCAGACTCTGGGCCGGACTGAGACTAGAGACTCAAGACTGGACCATGACTGGACCTGCATTAGGTCCAACCAAGACCAGACCCAGACATGGACCCAAACCTAGACAAGAGACCAGACCAATTCTGACTGGTTGACGTCATAAATATCACTGTATCCAGTCTGGACCCGGTCTAACCCAGTGTCTCTCCCTCAGACCTTCTATCACGGTGAACCAGTGAAAGTTCATGTGGAGATCACCAACTCATCAAACAGAGACCTCAAAGACCTCAGTCTATCTGGTGAGTCCTTCAAACGAGACCAGACCTCGGTCTGTAAAAGATTCAGATCCAGATTGATTTATTCAGACATTTTTAACATTCATTACAAGAAAATAGAAAACATGAACACATTTTCTGATGTAATAGGCAGAAGCTAAAGCTTATTCCGACTATCCCTATTTACAAAACAAAAAAAAAGCTGCCAATGTTCAGCTGTATAATTTAGTTTTGAAGCTAAGTTCCATAATAAACAAAAATTAAGTTTCATTGTAAAAAAGTTTTTTCACAAACAAAAGTTTAGTGTTGTTATAAAAAACTAAGTTCCATTCTATACAAAAAGCTAAGTTTGATCATAAACAGATCTAAGTTCATTAAAAACAAAAAATGCATCCTCAGCATTAATTTCAACATATTTTCTTATAATTGTTTTCTACAAAAAAATTATTAAGTATTTCATTCACTCTTTCTATCTCAGTTTCACTTATTTTTAAATTTCTACACATGTTAATGGATCAATTTCCAAAAACAATGAATTTTGTTTTCCTTAAGTTGAGGGTTAAATGAGCAATATGTAAAAATCTGGCCAAAAGTGGTACTGCAGTCACAATCAATATTTTGATTTGATAATGCCTTTTGAAATATTGGGGCCATTTAATGATGACTTGACATGCAAATTTTACATTTTGCTACTATAACTTATTTAAATTAAACCACTTCTTTAACAATAATAATTCTTTTGCAACTGTATCTGTTCATATTTCTAGATTTTTACCACAACTAAACATGTTGGTGTCATCTGCAAATAATATACAGTAAGGTTTGATGTTTTTGAAGTAGACAAAGATCATTAATATACATGAGAAATATAAAGGGACCCAACACTGACCCCTGAGGGAGGCCGTCATTGTCATTATCCTCAATGGTCGTCACATAAACAGTTATTGTTCACCATAAATGAATAACACACATAGATTCATCATCAACAGAAGGCACCATAAGAGGTGTGATGACCATGTGTGTTTCAGTGGAGCAGGTCACCAACGTGGTCCTTTACTCCAACGACAAATATGTGAAGTCTGTGGCCAAAGAGGAGACCAGGTGAGTCTGCACCTCTGGTACCAGGTGAGTCTGCCCCCCTTGTATCAGTTGTTTGACCCGGTTTTGCTCTCAGTGACACGGTTGCCGCGGGGACGACCCTGAAGCAGGAGTACGTCCTGTATCCTCTGCTCACACACAACCGCGAGCGACGAGGCCTCGCCCTGGACGGACGCCTCAAGCACCAGGACACCAATCTGGCATCCAGTACCATGTGAGAGCAGCACCATGTGGGGACCAGGAACACACACACATACAGAGAGTGCCACCATGTGGGGTCCAGGAACACACACCCATACAGCAAGTGCCACCATGTGGGGACCAGGAACACGCATACATACAGAGAGTGCCACCATGTGGGGACCAGGAACACACACCCATACAGCAAGTGCCACCATGTGGGGACCAGGAATCACAAACACACGTAAACATACACACATCAACTCCAAATATAGCATTCTTCTAATTTGTAAATGTGTTGTAAATGTGTGTCTGTGTCTGTGTCTCTGCTTGTGGGTGTGTGCGTTCATGTGTCTGTCTGTCTGTCTGTCTCGCTCTGTGTATGTGTGTGTGTGTCTGTCTGATTGTCTGTGTATGTGTGTGTGTGCGCCACAGAGTGAAGCAGGAGGTGCTGAAGGAGGTGCAAGGCATGCTGGTGTCGTATAAAGTGGTGTTGAGGATGATCGCCTCTGGGTAAAGAACAGACTTATTTTAGATTTTAAATATATTCTACAGTTAAAGCTTGGGTCTGTAACTTTAGTCCAATAACTAACACGAGTAGTTTCACCAGTTGTGTGACAGATCCCTGTGAGTCACAATTTGCCTCTTTTCTGTGGTTTGAAAGTTACAGACCCAAGCTTTAATCATCATTGCTTTTTGAAGTTAAATATTTTTGTCCCTCTTTTGCCTGTTCTCCACAGAACCGTGGGATCCAGGTAACGCACACACACACACACACACACATACACACACACACACACACTTATATCTGTGTCTTCTCAGTGATGTTTCACTGGAGCTGCCGTTCAGACTGATGAATCCCAAACCCGACTCCGGTGAGAAACAAACCAAACATGTTTTAAATCAAACTCAAAGTTTTAATGATCTCTGCTTTGTTTTTATGCAGCCAAAGACGGGTAAAGTATTAGTCCTGCTTTAGTCCTGCTTTAGTCCTGCTTTAGTCCTGCTTTAGTCCTGCTTTAGTCCTGCTTTAGTCCGGCTTTAGTCCTGTTTTAGTCCAGCATTAGTCTAGCATTAGTCCTGCTTTGGTCCTGCTTTAGACCTGCTTTAGACCTGCTTTAGTCCTGATTTAGACCTGCTTTAGACTTGGCTCAGACTTTGCCCAGACCTGGTCTTGTTTTATTTATTTATTTATTTAGAGGATAAGCCCCTTGAGATGAATCATCTCGTTTTCGAGGGGGTCCTCAAGATTTCACAAGGACAGATACCGCAAAACAGATGCAAATAAGACAAAAGAAAATCATAAAAAAAAAAAAACACAAAACAAATGGTAATAATAAAAAAATAAAAATAAAAAAGCAACCATAACAAATACACACACAATCACTCACACACACACACACACATCGTGACTGTACTGATGTTACACAAAATATGGATAATACTATTAATATTGATGGAAATAACAATAATCGGGAGACAAGACAAGTTTAGGTCTCATAAACTAAGATCAAAACATTGACATGAATACCGGAGATATTGTATCAAAGCAGATTTTAACAGAGGCAGAGAAGTTAGAGAGCGAATAGACAGCGGCAAACAGTTCCAGTCAGACGGAGCTTTAAATTTAAATGCATGTTTTCCAGCTTCTTTATTCACTCTTGGAACTACAAAAAAAGACTGATTTGCATGACGCAAACTGTACGAGGATTGGAAAGGAATCAGATATTGTTTTAAATATTCTGGAAAACTGAGATTAATGCATTTGAAAATAAACAATAGCCAATGTAGCTGACGTCTGGAGGACAGAGAGAGCCATGACAGCTGCTCATACATCAGGCAGTGATGGGTTCTGAACGGACAGCGAAGGATGAACCTGCACAGGCTGTTGTAGGAGACAGTCAGAGGCTGAAGAACAGAGGCAGTAGTATTTTGATAAATTATATCGCAATAATCAAGAATGGGGAGAATCAGTTGAGAAATGATCCTCTTCCTTATTGATAAGCTAAAACAATTAATCGATTGATAAAGTAATTTTAAGCGATAAGAAATTTTGTTTGTAATGTTTTGTATATGAATATTAAAGGACAGAGAAGAATCAAGCCATACGCCGAGATATTTAAAACGATCGACAACTGGAACTGGAGACATATCTGAATACACAAGATTAATTTCATTTTTGGAAACAGGACACACTCTCTTCTGGAACAGTAAAACATTTGTTTTGGATTTGTTTAGAAACAATTTGTTTGATTGTAGCCATAATTGAACTGAATTAAAGTCATTTTGAATAGAGTGTTGGATATCAGCAATATTAGCTTTTGATGAATAGATAACTGTATCATCAGCATAAAGTTGGATCTGACAGTCTTGTCCTTTCTCTGCAGAGATCCTGGAGACCTGGTGTTTGAAGATTTTAAGAGAGATTATCTTAAAGGAGTGATCGGAGACGACGAGGACTCTCCCACTGAGGCTTGAGAGCCCCGATCTTCCACGACAGGCCACGCCCACTTGATAGATGTCCCGCCCACCGTTGATAAACCACGCCCCCTTTTTGTGAAATATATCCACCGATAATGCCCATTACTAAATGATGTACAATACTTTTGTTGTTATAGATGAATCTGTCTTTATGACACCGTGCAGGAAACATGTGACATCACTCAGAAAAAGATAAACTTTAAGCATATCATACATGACACAAAATGGCCGCTACAGTCCCGGTTTCCTCCTTACACTGTCTCCAGTCCTACTGTATTCTACTTTACTCTACCTGGTTGTGTTTCCATTAGCAACCTGTGCAAAACTGTCAGTTAGAACACTGGTACCAGCTCTGCCTGGATAGAACCAGGACCAAGAGGGACTAAAGATGGACCTGGTACTGGTCACACAGGAACAGAGGAAACACTCCCAATCATGGGAGAGTAGGGTAGCGTAGAGAAGGGTAGAGTATAGTTTGGCAGAGTAGGGTAGGGTAGAGTAGGGTAGGGTAGAGTAGAGTGGGGTATAGAGTAGGGTAGAGTAGAATAGAGTAGGGTAGGGTAGGGTAGAGTAGAATAGCGTAGGGTAGGGTAGAGTAGAATAGAGTAGGGTAGGGTAGGATAGGGTAGGGTTGGATAGAGTAGGGTAGGGTAGGGTCGGTGGAAACCGTATTTTAAAAAAGAACATTTTTCCTCCTCTTGTAAAATGGCCGCCTCAGTCCTCTCTGTGTGTCCTGCTGTAGCGACCTGTAGTGAAGCGTGTTCTTTGTTGTAGTGAGCGTGAAACGCTGAAACTGAACATTTAAATAAAGCTTTTTTGTGGCTCCTTCAGTGTTTTTCTATGAGCTGACGTCACATGGACTTAGCGACATACTTAGACCTGCTTTATGTCTCTCTTTTGAGTCATCTCAGTATTCTCTTTTGAGGCCCCCTCCTCCCCCTCAGTACAGTCTCCCTCCTCCCCCTCAGTACAGTGGTGTTGTGTTGTTACTGTATAAACGATGGCCCACATTCCTCCGGATCAGTGTCCAGTGTTTATCTGTGAATGTAACGGAACCGAGAGCCTCCTGTTTCAGGCCGAAGGGCCACGCCCGTGGGAACCGGAGCACCGCGCCCAGCTGGGGGGAGAAGGGGTAGACCAGCCAGGGCCCAGAGAGACCGGCCAGGATCCCGGGAGAGGCAGGGTGGGGCAACAGACACAAAGCATGAACTAGGTCTGAGATAAAAACGTGTTTATGAGGAGCAGAGGTTGCAGCTCCACAGACTGAGAGACCCCCCCCACTCAGAGCAACAACAGGAGCAGAACGATGTGATACTTCTGACCTTATTACACAGATCATAAACCACTCACCACATGGGACACTACATGACCTGTTTTAGTCCTGCTGTAGACCTGCTTTAGACTTGCTGTAGACCTGCTTTAGTTCTACTGTAGATCTATTTTAGACCTGCTGTAGACCTGCTGTAGACCTGCTTTAGACATTGTTTCTCTCTGACTGCATGTGTTTCTGCCGCTCTAGACGAAGTACTGGTGATTTAGTCAAAAGAATGAGGAGAATTATTATGTATTTAAATATATTATTTATTTACTGTTATAATTCACACAGACTTCAGTTTCACAGAGACACAGAGCGACCTACAGAGCAATCTACAGAGCCATCTACTGCGCCACCTACAGAGCAACCTACAGAGGGACCTACAGAGAAACCTACAGAGTGCCTTTGTACCAAACTGACGGCTCGATGTCTAAGGCTCTAGGGAGTAGAGTCTAAGGGTGTAGAGTCCAAGACTCTAGAGTCTCAGGTCTAAGGTGTGGCGTCCTCCCAGGAGTAGAAGCCCGTGTGGGTGTAGGTGGGCTCGGTGGGGGGCGGTGGGGTCAGCAGACCCGAGAGTTCCCCGAAGTCACGGCCGGTGATGCTGCCCATGTCCATGAAGTCTCCCTGGCAATGGTCGGGGTACAGCAGGTACCCAGAGAACAGAGAGGACCTGTCCTCCCCGGTGGTCATGCCGTTGTTGTTGTTGTCTTTGACCTGGAGCCAGACGCCGTCGCCCATCTGCAGGTGCAGCGTGACGGTCATGGCCAACGTCCCCAACGTGCTGGAGTCTGTTGTCTTAAGGACCGACTTAAAATTGCGAAAGATGCCGACCACCAGTGGGCGCTGCGCCACGGTGAGGGTCATGGAGAACACGTAGGTGCCGTTGATGGGGGCCACAAAGATGCCCATGGAGGGGATGAGGGCGTTCTGGAGGTTGTAGATGATCTTGGGGAACGGCACGGGCAGATCAGGGGCCGGGAAGCTCTGGGTGAGGGCCGCAGAGAATGCAGCCTTCACCTTGGGCATACAGGGTCCCGGCATTCCTGGCATGCCCATCATACCCCCATCCCCCTTCTCTCCAGAGGCGCCCTGCTCTCCTTTAGGCCCTGCGTCCCCCTGCTCGCCGTGGGGCCCTTGGTCTCCTTTAGGCCCAGGGGCCCCATCCTGGCCGTCCACACAGTCACAGTCTCCCTTCGGCCCCTGATCTCCCTTGCCTCCTGGGAGTCCGTCGACCCCTGGCTGGCCTGGCACTCCACTGGCACCTTTAGAGCCTTTCTGTCCCTGAGCTCCATCAGCCCCTGCAACTCCTCTGAGCCCGGCCGGCCCTGGGGGCCCTGGGGGCCCAGCGGGGCCCTCACTGGCCTCACACTCATTGGGACACACACCATCATCTCCTTTAGGCCCCTGGTCTCCAGGACGACCCTCCAGGCCCAGGTCGCCCTTCTCCCCTGGGGACACATCACGTATGTTTGAGTATTATTATTGTTACTATTGTTGTTATTGTCACAGATTAAATGAAAACGTTACCTTTAAATCCTTGTGCTCCTTTTGGCCCCACATTCCCTTGGAACCCAGGGGCCCCCTTCACTCCATCATCACCTTTCTGTCCTGAGGAGGATATAACATCACCATGAGACCAGAGTATGACATCATCACTGTGTGACCAGAGTATGACATTGTCACTTTTTGACCAGAGTATGACATCATCACTGTGTGACCAGAGTATGACATCATCACTGTGTGACCAGAGTATGACATCGTCACTTTGTGACCAGAGTATGACATCATCACTGTGTGACCAGAGTATGCCATCATCACTGTGTGACCAGAGTATGACATCATCACTGTGTGACCAGAGTATGACATCATCACTGTTTGACCAGAGTATGACATCATCACTATGTGACCAGATAATATTACGTCTGTGTTGCAACAGCCCCAAAACATCTCACTCTAGAGCAGATCTGAAGAGGAATGGGCCAAAACGCCACAATGTAAATCTGACACAGGTCACTCCTCACAGAACTTTTGTTCTTTTTCAAATTCTTATTTTCTACATTATACAAAGACATGTTTTCAATCCACCCGTCTCAGTAATAACTGTAAGACACTAACCTTTGATGCCTGGAGCTCCCACAAAGCCCTGCTGTCCTTTGGGCCCCTGGGGGCCTCTGGGTCCAGGACTGCCAGGCCGACCTGAGAACGAGGAATGAAAGTAAAATATAGGCAGGCAATTGAGAAAGTAAGACAGAGGAATGAAAAAATAATAGTAATAAAAACAGTAAAAAGAGGTGTGGTTAAAGCAGTATGAGGTCAGAAAGAGCAGTTGGAGCGATGGGTCCGGTTCTGCTGAGTCATTAAAGGGAGGTGTTGAATATTCTGTGGAAATTAAGTCGGTTAGTAGGTTTTACCGGGAATAGTTGCCGATGGTTAGAGCTGTGAGGATGATTTTAAGGTTTGTTGTTTGGTTTGAGAGTGTTGAGAAGTTTAGACGACGACAAAAAACACTGTAGTTCTAGTTTGTGGCCAGGAGGAGGCAGTGGAACACTCGACCCCCAACAGTAGAACCACTTCCTCAACAACATCCTCCTCAGGCCGCCGCAAAGATGAGAAAGAACCAACATCATTCAGCATTTACCAGCAGCGGAAACGAAAACTGAAACTACAGCTGCTCGTAGTTTAGTTTAGATGAAAAAGTAGAATTCTCTTCTGTAAACAGGAGGCCAAACCGAAACAAACTCTAACCTTTCACTGTTGCAGCGTCTCCGTGTAACCGGGAGGACCGTAAGTAAGTGGGAAATGTTTATTTATAGAGCACATTTTTACAGACCAAGATCACACAAAGCGCATTACAATGTTCAGAGCTCAGATATATTGTTCCGTTCTCTCCACACCGTGATGACCTATACCCAGACACGGGGAGAACATGCAAACTTCACTCAGAAAGGTCCTGTTCCGACCGGGATTCGAACCCAGGACCTCTTCCCAAAAGTGTTTTGAGGGGTGCTGCAGTCCCAGGTGTGTGTGTGATTACAGTTTTGAGTGGTAGTAGTAATAGTAGTAGTAGTTGAACGATGTATCTTATATTTTTTTCACAGGCACATATTTCAAGAATGAAAGAAAGCTCAAAGGAGAGGGCAGAAGCAAAAAGTGCCTTCCTTATTATCAATACTTAGTTTAAGCGGCTGCAAAAAGATTTAAAGGAGTTAAACCCGTTCCTGCAAGTTTTAAATGTTTAGCACCGCACTCAACTCGCTCACAGACTTCTCATTTCCCCTACGCTCTCATCCCCGGTTTTATCTGCGATACATATGCAAACATTAGCATGAGCGTAACTTAAGTTGTACAACAATCACTGATGAAATGATACAAAAGCAACGCACTGCTAACACAATATACAACTGAAAGATTACCGCTAGTTCCGCGTCCGAATGTAGTCCGAGCATAGATAGTCCGAGCATAGATAGTCCGAGCATAGATAGTCCGAGCATAGATAGTCCGAGCATAGATAGTCCGAGCATAGATAGTCCGAGCATAGATAGTCCCATAGACAAGTCTCTCCAGAGGATACGATAGCTAGCTAGCTATGTTCACCCGGGCTTGATTTCTTCTTTGATCATTTTTTGGCTTTAGTTCCCTCTTCTCTTCCTCACTGTTGTGGCGTTTGGGCTGTTTTTCTGTGTCTGCAGTTACAGCCAGAGGAGTTATAGCCACTTATGCTAACATGCTACTGTGTTTAGCAGCGCTGTAGAGACTAGAGGACGCAGCCTCGTTCTGTGATTGGAGGAGAGCCAGCGTCACACTAAGTCTCTACTCAGCACTTTTTACGGCCAGTTTTCAATTAAATTACGGATTATAATACAACTTGTATGAAGTAATAAGCATTTTTATTAACTCATTAAAAAAAAATCGGAGTACAGTGTGAGCAGCTTTGGACAGTCCTTCCCCAGAGTCGTGTGTTCATTGGAGGTTTGCATTTTTAGTCATGAAATAAATGCTTTTGCAGATTATTCTTCAGAAGTCTGTATCGGGAGCCATCGAGAGGTTTCTTTCCCATTTGGCATTGGTTTACATGTTGCTTGAAGTTTACATGTTCTCGCCTACCATGTACAATAAAACATGTACAATAGGTCTGAACGTAATGAATGAAAGAGTGAATGGATGGTGTTGGGTCAGAGATTTTGATGCACCAGTGTGTTCGGCGACTCGCTTCCATCATCACCGTGTGTGAATGAAACAATATCTGGTTTCGGAGCATTGTAAAGGGCTTTGGGTGACCTTGGTGTGTAAAATGCGCTATCTGAATAGACATTACTTACTTGGTTTCCGTATTATTTTGTAAATTTTTAGAGAGAAATGTGGATTAACTGTGATGTTGCCGGTGGGAGTTGTAAATTTGTCGTTCTTATGTTTATTGCTGATGTTACTGTGGATTTAACATCAGCAATAAAAGCATTGTTAAATGCTTTAAATAGTACACATCAATTGTACTATTTAAAGCATTTAACAAATTTCTACCAAGTAACATACAACAATAATTTATTCTTAAAGAAAAAACATATAATCTAAGAGGTCTTGGAAACTTCCAAGTCCCAAAATTCCGAACGACTCGTAAAAGTTTCTGTGAAATTGTGGAATGCTCTGGATCTCCAACTAAAACAATGCCAAGACATTCACAGATTTAAGTCACTATATAAAAACAATGTTTGGTTTGACTATAGAGAGAATATGCCTTGAATATATTTCCATTTTGCCATGTCCTCTTCTTGTATGTTTGTAACTTTTTCAATCAGTTTTCCTGGGACAAGGCAATAAAAAGCAGAGCTAAAATTAACGTGCAGCGTTCTTGCGACAGTGAGTGTGTTCTGACGGATTGCTGCTGCAAGGGGTTCTATGAAGATCGTGAATAAAGATGGAGAGAGGGGATTTTTCTGCAAAGTCCCGCTGTACAGTGTGAAACGTTCGACTATATGTCTGTTGGTTGTGACTGTGGCCGATGGCGTGGTGTAGAAGATCTTGGTGTAGAAGATTCAGTTAAAAAATGACTCCACCAGACTCATTCTAATGTGACTGGCACTTTACAGCCGTAGCCACCCCACTGTGGCACCTGGTGTCCCCAAAGGTCTCCCATCACGGTACTAACCAGGCCCTGCCCTGCTTAGGGAGAAACTAGAGAGAGACCAGAGAGAGATCAGAGAGATCAGAGAGAGAGACCAGAGAGAGAGAGAGAGAGAGAGAGACCAGAGAGAGAGACCAGAGAGAGAGACCAGAGAGAGAGACTAGAGAGAGAGACCAGAGAGAGACCAGAGAGAGACCAGAGAGAGACCAGAGAGACCAGAGAGACCAGAGAGACCAGAGAGAGACCAGAGAGAGACCAGAGAGACCAGAGAGAGAGAGATTGAGAGAGACCAGAGAAAGACCAGAGAGAGATCAGAGAGAGGCCAGAGAGAGACCAGAGAGAGAGAGACCAGAGAGAGACCAGAGAGAGACCAGAGAGAGATCAGAGAGAGGCCAGAGAGAGACCAGAGAGAGAGAGACCAGAGAGAGACCAGAGAGAGACCAGAGAGAGAGAGACCAGAGAGAGACCAGAGAGAGACCAGAGAGAGAGAGATCAGAGAGAGACCAGAGAGAGACCAGAGAGAGACCAGAGAGAGACCAGAGAGAGACCAGAGACAGAGAGAGATTCCTGGTGCCAGACCCACCTGGTAGGCCGCGGTCTCCCCGGTCTCCCTTGGGTCCCGTGGTTCCTTTGCAGTGGGAGCAGATGCAGAACCAGGGGGCGGTCTCAGGCGGCACCGGGACCGGGCTCTGCAGCAGCATCTCACAGTACGCATCTTTGGACTCGTCTGGGATGAAGTTGGAGGTCATGTTCCCCATGGTGTCTGGGTAATCTGCCACCACCAGGGGGAGCAGGAGGAGGAGGAGCACGCGGGACACCATCTGAGGAGCACAGGAGACATGTAAGCAGGGGAGGAGGAAGGAGGAGGTGTGAGGAGACCAGCTGAAGAAGGAGGAGTAGGAGACCAGCAGGAGAAGGAGGAGTAGGGAGGTGATTAGTTAATTTTGGAAGCAAGACTTATAGCAGCGAGGGACAACGCAAAAACGTTCTCTTTGGTTTCATCAGAGTATAGTGGTCTAATGAGTTGTGTCTCTCTGGTCCCTCTTTTGTCTCTCTCTCTGGTCTTTCTCTCTGGTCTCTCTCTGAACTCTCTGGACTCTCTCTGGTCTCTCACTGGCCTCTCTCTGGTCTTTCCCTGGTCTCTCTCTGGACTCTCTCTGGTCTCTCTGGTCTCTCTCTGAACTCTCTGGACTCTCTCTGGTCTCTCACTGGCCTCTCTCTGGTCTTTCCCTGGTCTCTCTCTGGTCTCTCTCTGGTCTCTCTCTGAACTCTCTCTGGACTCTCTCTGGTCTCTCTGGTCTCTCTTTCTGGTCTCTCTCTGGTCTCTCTCTGGTCTCTGGTGGATTCACTCACCTCTGTCTCTGTGGAGCTTCTGGTCTGTGCCTCCAGTGTCTGCAGCTGTAAATAAAACAGCTGAGCCACACCCACAACCTGTTCCCGCCCCTTCCCATATGACCACGCCCCTTTTCCAGGTAACACACCCTCTCCACCTGGCCACGGTCATATCATATCAACCAAACTCTTTCAGTGCGCTCGCGAAACGCCGGACTCCTGCTGGGTCCTAAAGAGTCTAAAGGACCTTCTGCTGAAATTCTCCTGATGATGACTTTCTATCACGTATTTATTGAAAGTATTCAGTCTTTTTCATGCATCTGCTGGTTCCACAGATAACCAGGATCATAAATGTGTGCTCTAAAAGGATTGGTCAGCCAGATCTGCTCTGAGTGACCAGCAGGGTCCTGGATGAGCCCTGACACGTCCTGTACCCCGTGTTTGAGTGGCTGCCGTCGGGGGCAGGACACAGAGGAGGGAGGTGACCATTGCCCCATCAGTGATCCTGCTCCTGGACAGAGACCCCTCCCTCCCTCGACACTGCTCCTCTGCACCCCCAATATGCCTTCAGTAAGAACGTGTGCTTTGTATTGTAGCTTTTTATTTCTGTAACTGCTACTCTCAGTGTTTTTGATTGTCCGTTGGGGATAAATAAAGTGTTTTGAATTGAATTGAAAAACTGCAGTCGGAGGCCGGGCATATAGCTCCAATCTCCTTTACTGTGGAATCAGCTCCTCATCCACGTCCAGGAAGCAGACACAGTCTCTATGTTTAAGACTTAAAATGGTCTTTACTTCAGCAGATGGTCTTGTGTCTAAAAACACAGATGGTCGGTGACTGTTTTTGAACTGTTTGATTCTCAGATCTGATGTTGAGGAATCCACAACTTTGTAAAGTCCACCGAGGTGACTGCTGTTGTGGTTAAGGGTGAATATGAATCCCTGAACCTGACCATGGCCCTCCCCTGACCACGCCCCCTTATTCTTCCAGAACAGTGTAAATCTCATATTGATCGAAAACCATGTAAAAGAGACGAGCCCTCCGTATGGCTCTGAGCTCCGCCCCTGTCAATATGTCACCATAAACAAGGAACATCTCAAGCCACGCAGGCTCCGCTCAGACCACAAACCAAGCTAGCAATCAGTGGCTATTTTTCCTTCAGCTGTGAGTGAGTTTATCACGATAACCCTGACCCTAACCCTAACCCAGAGAGAGGGACCAGAGAGAGAGACCAGAGAGAGCGACTACGTAGAGAGAGAGACCAGAGAGAGAGTGACCAGAGAGAGACCAGAGAGAGCTCAGAGAGAGACCAGAGAGAGACCAGTGAGAGAGACCAGAGAGAGACCAGAGAGAGACCAGAGAGAGACCAGAGAGAGCTCAGAGAGAGACCAGAGAGAGCTCAGAGAGAGACCAGAGACAAGGACCAGAGAGAGAGAGCGACCACGATGAGAGACCAGAGAAAGCCCAGTGAGAGAGACCCGAGAGAGACCAGAGAGAGGGACCAGAGAGAGACCACGCAGAGAGAGAGAGACCAGAGAGGGACCAGAGAGAGACCATAGAGAGTCCAACAAGAGACCAGGGACCAAGACTGGGAGCAGGACAGGCAACAGGAGTAGACCAGAACAGCAGCGGTGCCCTGGTTCAGTGCTGGTCCTCGCCTCAGTCTGATTACCGGGTGACCTGCTTAGAGACAAAAGAAAAATGAGCGTGAGATTAACACAAAAGGAATTTTTATGAACGAAAAGCAGAAACCAGAGCCTCCTGACCTGAGTGCATGTGTGTGTGTGTTTGTTTGTGTGTTTTAAGTGCATTTTATGTTCAAACCAACTTCACGCATCAAAGGCTACATTTAGTTTGTATTCATATATTTAGTGAAAGTAACTTCAAAGTAATGCAGTAGTAGTGTACAGAGACAGTAATATTGTACTAACACATTACTTTCAAACAACATTAACAAGTAACACATCATTATTACGTGTTTGAAGTGACTGTCCATCTGCAACAGTCATGATCCAAGTCTATGGCCCCGTCCCAATACTCGCACTTCCACCCTCGCGCCCCTCATTTGCGCGTTCCCGATAAAGGGTGCGAGTGCGTAGGGTGTCCCAATTCTCCAGGGAGGTCTTTGGCCCCGCCCCCTTTGCGCCCCTGATCCACACTTCGCCGTAGCCTGCATCTATGCGCACTCTGGCGAAGGATATTGCCCATAATTCTTTGCGGTACACACCAAAACGTCGGGAAAATGCAAATTTTGAAATATATGCAGTATGTGTGTAAATAAGTTTTGCTATGTTACTTGGAAAGAAGCATAAACGTTTGATGAAGAATTACGGACATTGTGTTTTAACAATTTAATAACTTTTTAAAGCAAGCGTTTATACAACATTCAAGTTAAACTTTACACTTAGTACAATAATCTTAGGGTGTATAAAAAGATAAGAATTCCTTTATTCGTCTCACAGTGGGGAAATTTCAGACCAATGAATGTCACATGACCTCCTCGGAGACGCCATCTTTGATGGCACGCTGCTGTGTTTGTGCATTCCATTAAACAGAAGAATGAGAATAAATGTAGATATTCAAACGCAAATTGGAAAAAAAGGGCAACTTTTGAGCAAATAATTGTATATTAATACAATGGCACCACAGTTTAACGTGCTACGGACATGTTTTACATATTTGATCAAATTAACAAGCAAAAATTAACAAGCAATGCAAACATTTCTCAAAAAGTTTAGATTTAATACCAATTGGAGCTCCATTTAATTATTTTAATTATATTAACAATTAATTTAATTAATGCTAATGCCACACGGACACTCTGGATTGCTGTTATTGTTTATTTCCGCGTTTTTGACCGTATGTTTTGGTGAATGGTGGGCAACTGATTTTTCCAGGCGTAAAGAGCAGTTTATTTTATGACACAGATCTTTTTACAGAAGCAATGCTGTTTGTGAACATTGTTTTAGCCCACCATAGAACTATTATTATCTATTTAATACATTTACGTTGCCCTCGAGAGCCTCGGACGCGACACCGATCCTCCTCATAATAAAGTAATCTAAATAATGAAACTCTCAAGTTACCAGCTATCAGCCTACACAAGTTAGTACTGAGTAAATTGCGTCTGTCAACACATTATAAGATACGATACGCACCTGACACAAAGTGCTCCGAGCATATTCTTGCGTGTTTTGAGGGAGTTTCTTGCCTGTTTATCTTCGCAAGCCATAACCTCCGTCGTTGTTCTGACAAAAGCTTAGTCTTCTCACATTCATGAAGTCTAATGATGGGTATACTGTAAAATCCAAGTTTAACAGAACCTCCGGCACGATTTGAACATCCATTGACCCAGCAGGAGATGACCATTTTCAACTTTATCACGACATTAACACGTTTCAGCTTCTTTTTCTATTGTTTTGCCCACAGAATGCCAACACAAATGGCGCCGGGTCGGCAAATCCCCGTATGTAGTGACGTCATGTAAGAGCACACACAATATATACACTATATACAAATAAGTAGTAGCTATGTTTCTTAGCTAACATAACTAGCTGTAGATGCTGAAAATGCTTCAATACCAGCAGTGATGGGAATAACGGCGTTACTAGTAACGGCGTTACTAACGCCGTTACTTTTTTCAGTAACGAGTAATCTAACTAATTACTTTGACAGTAACTATAACGCCGTTAGCATTTCCGACATCCCGTTACTGCGCGTTACTCAAGACGCACAATGAACGTGTTGTCATGAGAGAAGGGAGGATGAGAAAACCTCTCAGCAATTATTGGCTGATGTAAATCATATTTCCTTTACAATCTACATGTCTACAGTTGAGAGGATGGCTCATAAATTGTGTTTTTGAAACAAATATGGGTCTTAATCGCGCTCAACCACGGCTTGTATCACCGTGAGGTCAGCCACAGAGTAGCGCATGTGAGCGCAGAAGTCGGCTGCATACAATTCCATCGATAAGCTCCTTGCTCTTCCTGGTTTATCTGCTAAGGACAGCAACAGGTTTGGCTAACATACATATAACACATTTTTACATAATATAAAATGCACATAGGGTAATTTTTCAATTACTATAGGAATGATAAGAAAGAGAGGTGAAGTGTAAGACGGTTGATTTTAGAAATTGGATGCAGTCGGCTGCAGCAAAACAGAGGAGTTTATGGAGGACACACGCGTTTTGTTTTACTTTTTAAAACTCATTGGACTCATTTCCAAATGGAGGATTACATATCTACGCTCAAACCATTCACTGGATTTAAACAAGGAACTGGTCTGAACCGAAGTGGACTGTGCAGGTCATTTATAAGGTATAGCTATAAGGTAAGACTCATAACTCATAGTTTTGCGTTTTGTGTGAACAAACAATGCGGGCATAAAACATATTTTGCTGTAGCCAAACAAATTGTCCACTTGATTTATATGATGTATATGTTCATCTGATTGGACTGAAGTCAGTGCTTCACCAGCCTCACCGCTCGTCACCGGTGTTTCCACATTCACAGTGGCGGGCTTTACAGCACAGACAGAGATGAAGAGTGAACAGGACTTCAGCAGCAAAACAGACTTTTCTAGATGGAAATATTGGCACTGTTAAAGGTAAAAATGCGCACGTCGGGTGCACATTATGTTCCAGAACAAAACGAAAAAGTAACGCAATAGTTACTTTTACTGGTAACTAGTTACTTTTATAGTGGAGTAACTTCGTTAGTAACTCAGTTACTTTTTGGGAGAAGTAACTAGTAACTATAACTAATTACTTTTTCAAAGTAACGTGCCCAACACTGAATACCAGTCAAAAGATTTATATGTAGTAGTAGTGCAGTTATACTGTACAGTTAAATAGTGCAGGATAATAAGTAGATAAGTAAAGTGACATGAGGTAAATGAAGAATGACATGAAGAAAAACTGACCAGATAGTTAGTTACCCACATTTAACTTAAATTTATACAGCTATCTCTAATTAAAAACAACTAATATACATGTATTTGCAATTCATTTTGTTTCCCAAAGGGTCAGACAAAATTACCTTAAATTTTTATAAAGTTTAGGTCTGAAAATGACCAAAGGTATTTTGAGTCCTTTGCTTTTTACTTTGTACACTCACGATTGTGTGTCCTCCTCTGACTCAAACCTGATCATCAAATATGCTGATGACACCACCATCATCGGTCTCATCAGTGACAATGATGAATCCTCTTATAGAGCAGAGAACATGTTTTTCAGTGGAGTAAAGTAAACAATCTCCAGCTGAACACTGCAAAAACATGTGAACTTGTCTTTGACTTCAGTCGTAGCAGTTCTCACACTCCTGTCGTAATCGACAACTCCCAGGTGCAGATCGTAGAGGAGTGCAAGTTTCTGGGTTTAACTCTGTCTAACGACCTGAAATGGGTTAAAAACACTGACCGAGTCGTTAAGAAAGCTCATCAGCGGCTCTTCTTTCTGCGTAAACTTAGAGAATTTACCACTAACTCTAAGATTCTGCTTAACTTTTATCGCTGCACCATTGAGAGTTTACTTGTTGTTTCTGTGTCTGTGTGGTTTGGAAACATCACAGATAAAGAAAAGAGATCTTTAAACAAGGTGCTCCGCTCTGCAAAGAGGACCGTGGGCTGTGAGCTTCCTGTTCTGGAGGTTCTTTATAAATCCAGACTTTTAAACAAAGCTCAGGATTGTTAATGACTCTTCTGGCCACCCTGGGAAAGCCATGTTCCAGCTTCTTCCCTCTGGCAGAAGATATCGCTCTCTGAGATGCAGGACATCTCGTTACGCTAACAGTTTTTATCCACAAGCTGTTATCAGTGTGAACAGAGCACTTTAATGATTTGCACTTGTTTTGAAACTGTTTTAGTCGATCGATTTCACAGTGACTTTTGTTTACTGTTTTATTTGTTTTATTTTTGTCTTTTAATGTTGTTTTATGTCTGTATTTGTCTGTGCACACTGGAGACTTTTGCTAATGTATTCCAATGTGGTTTTTTACTGCAAATGGCAAATAAACTGAATCTGACTGAATCTGAATCTCTTGGTCGATGACGTCACCTGCACTCAGTGTGCACTGTCCCAATTCTGCCTTTTTTGCACACTTGTAACCTGCGCACTCCAACCCTGGTGTGCACTTCGAACAAATGCACACTTCGTAGAGGTGTGTAGTGTGCAGTGTGGTTATTGGGACTGGGCCTATGATAGAAGCTGGTACCAGGGGTTTTCCGGTCTGTACTAAACCTCACCACCAGAGGGCGCTGTAGGCTGTTACTCTGTGCCTGTAACCCGGATGTAAACAACGTGTTCTGAAGCCTCAAGGCAGAGAACCATCAGAGAGACCCATCACAGAGAGGACAATACCACAGCTCCTCTCCTCCTTCTCTCCTCGGCTCCTCTCCTCTTCTTCCTCTTCTTTCTCTTCTTCATCCTCTTCATCTTCTTCCTATTCCTCCTCCCCCCGGTATCAGGTCCGTGATGGCCGGTCTCTCTCCCTGGTGCCCGCTGCAGAGCTTCAGGACGCAGGCAGAGCTCATCTTCTCCGCGGCCGTGGAGGCGTGTTTGGCGTCTTATCTGCGCCCTGGGCCCTGCTGCGGCCCCCGGGACCAGGTGAGTGAGTGAGCGGGACATGTGTGACAGAAGAGTTTAGATGGGTGGAAAGTTACATTAAAGTTCTAATAAAGTTACATTAAAGTTAAATAGAGCTGGAGCAGCAGCAGAACCTCACCCTGACGTCACTTCCTGTTTAGTGTTTTGATTCTGTTTCGTCTTTGTTTCTTTTGTTTTCCTTCTATCCTCTACGTTTATAGAGTATACGGTGTGAGTGAGTGAAGGCATTATAACAAGTTACTTTCCACCAAAACATGATTTAATATATTAAAGAGTTGAACAAAGAGCTGGAAATGTGTGAAGACCAGAGAGTGAGAGACCAGAGAGTGAGAGACTAGAGAGTGAGAGACCAGAGAGTGAGGGACCAGAGAGTGAGGGACCAGAGAGAGACCAGAGAGCGAGAGAGACCAGAGAGGGAGAGACCAGAGAGGGAGAGACCAGAGAGGGAGAGACCAGAGAGGGAGAGACCAGAGAGGGAGAGACCAGAGAGTGAGAGACTAGAGAGTGAGAGACCAGAGAGTGAGAGACCAGAGAGTGAGAGACCAGAGAGTGAGAGACCAGAGAGTGAGAGACCAGAGAGTGAGGGACCAGAGAGTGAGGGACCAGAGAGTGAGAGACCAGAGAGTGAGAGACTAGAGAGTGAGAGACCAGAGAGTGAGGGACCAGAGAGTGAGGGACCAGAGAGAGACCAGAGAGCGAGAGAGACCAGACCAGAGAGAGAGAGAGACAGACCAGAGAGAGAGAGACCAGAGAGAGAGAGACCAGAGAGAGAGAGACCAGAGAGAGAGAGAGACCAGAGAGAGAGAGAGAGAGACCAGAGAGAGAGAGAGACCAGAGAGAGAGGGACCAGAGAGAGAGAGACCAGAGAGTGAGAGACCAGAGAGTGAGAGACCAGAGAGTGAGAGACCAGAGAGTGAGAGACCAGAGAGTGAGAGAGACCAGAGAGTGAGGGACCAGAGAGAGAGAGAGAGACCAGAGAGAGAGAGAGAGACCAGAGAGAGAGAGACCAGAGAGAGAGGGACCGAGAGAGAGACCAGAGAGAGAGAGACCAGAGAGTGAGAGACCAGAGAGTGAGAGACCAGAGAGTGAGAGACCAGAGAGTGAGAGAGACCAGACCAGAGAGAGAGAGAGAGACCAGACCAGAGAGAGAGAGAGACAGACCAGAGAGAGAGACCAGACCAGAGAGAGAGACCAGACCAGAGAGAGAGACCAGAGAGAGAGAGACCAGAGAGAGAGAGACCAGAGAGAGAGAGACCAGAGAGAGAGAGACCAGAGAGAGAGAGAGAGACCAGAGAGAGAGACCAGAGAGAGAGAGAGAGACCAGAGAGAGAGAGAGACCAGAGAGAGAGGGACCAGAGAGAGAGACAACAGAGAGAGCGAGAGACCCTTGTGGAGCCTTGCAGACACTTACCAACATAATTTCCACAAGTTTAATGTGAAAGGTCAGAGGTTAGAGCTTCTCTCACTCAAACACAGCTCCACGGCTCTGACCCACACAGAGTGAAGTCTGAACATTTATCTTTTGTCTCAGTCGGATTTGAAGATGGTTTTGGAGTTCGTTCTGAGAGAAGCTCTGAGGAAACTCTGCTCCATCGTTCGACTTCTGCTGGAGGAGAGGAGTCTGTGTGAGTCTGAATGGGGAGTGAGGGAAGAGAGGAGGGGGGGAGGTCTCTTCTCTCTGATCTCTCTCTCTCTGCTCTCTCTCTGCTTTTTCTCTGCATTCTCTCTGCTCTCTCTCTGCTCTCTCTCTGCTCTCTCTCTTTACTCTCTCTTTACTCTCTCTCTGCTCTCTCTCTGCTCTCTCTCTGCTCTCTCTCTGCTCTCTCTCTGCTCTCTCTCTGCTCTCTCTCTACTCTCTCTCTGCTCTCTCTCTGCTCTCTCTCTGCTCTCTCTCTGCTCTCTCTCTGCTCTCTCTCTGCTCTCTCTCTGCTCTCTCCCTGCACTTTCTGCATTTTCTGCACTTTGTCTCATGTTCAGGCGCTGCTCCCGCTGTCAACCAATCAGCATCAATCACGCGCCCCGTCTTCGTCATCAGCCAGCCAATCAGAGAGAAGATCACCGTCCAGCTTCTGCCAATCACAGAGCGGGATACTGACGAGGATCCTCCAATCACAGAGCCGCAAGGCCAGAACGCTGTGACATCACTTCCATCAGCGGACAAAGATAAACAGGTGAGGGACGAGTTTAAAGCTGAGGTCTGTAACTTTCGCCTCATAAATAACACATGTTTTATGCCTGACACAACTAAGAAAACATACGACGTTAGAACCACCCTCTAAAGTTTTCCACCTTCAGTAGAAAAATACAAAAAATATACAACTTCCACATAGAAAGATATTAAAACAACCACAATAATATCAGACTAACAATCATTTCTCAATATATTAAGTTAATAAACGTTTAGCAAGTGGCACTAACTGTGTGGACAAAAATATAAGCGAATCCACTCTCAGCCCAAAAAGTCAAATGACTCACAGGGCTCTTAAGTAAGCAAAATGAAAAACAAGATGGCCTGTTGTGGTTTGACTTGTTGACTTGATTAGAAAATGTATGTACCCGAGCTTTAATTTTGTGAGTTTTGGTTGCGCTTTAGGAGGAGACACGGGGGAGACACGGGAGAGAAGGGCAAGACCCACACGTGCAACAAGAGAATTGACCAATGAAAAGAATTGGTCAAAAAAAGATAAACAGACGTGTCCGCTTTCTCGGTAGAAAAAGTGGGCTCGAGGTAGAAATGCGGCAATGCGTACCTGGCCTAAATGTGTTAAACCTGGGGTTTGTAACTTTAGTCTCCTTAAGAAACATGTTTAAAGATGTGACAAAGACAGAAACACATGAAACCAGTGACAGAAGCAACTGTTCTAGAGCCAGAACCAGAGACATGGTTTTAATACAGAGGTCTCTCCCACAGGGGGCGCTGGAGGTCAGTGAGACGCCGTCTGAGACACGTAAGTCCTGTTCTGTCTCTGTTATCAGGAGCTGCTCTTGTGTTTCCAATCTCTCTCTCTCTGGTCTCTCTGGTCTCTCTCTCTGGTCTCGCTCTGATCCCTCCCTGGTCTCTCTCTCTGGTCTCACTATGGTCTCTCTCGCTCTGGTCTCTCTCTGATTCCTCTCTGGTCTCTCTCTGGTCCCTTTCTGATCCCTCTCTAGTCTCTCTGGTCTCTCTCTAGTCTCTCTCGCTCTGGTCTCTCTCTGTTCCCACTGTGGTCTCTTTCTAGTATCCCTCTCTCTCTCCAGCGGTGGAGGACGAGCGTGAGGCAGAGCGTAGACGCCGCAGGGAGTTGTACAAACACAAGCGTTTCTTCTGCTCCGTTTGCGATCGCGGTTTCCACCAGCGCCACCAGCTGCTGAAGCACCAGTCCAGCCACGCCAAGCCCTTCCCCTGCGACCAGTGCCAGAAGGGCTTCTACCGCCAGAGCACACTGCAGAAGCACATGGTCTACCACCAGCTGCGGGAGCGGCGAGACAAAGACCCAGACCGGCTGTTTCCCTGCGACCAGTGCGGTAAGAACCAGAGACCTGGACCAGCTACGACAAGTGCGATAAGAACCAGAGACCTAGACCAGCTGTGATCGTTGCGGTACGAACCAGAGACCTGGACCAGCTGTGACCAGTGCGATAGGGTCCTGACACAGTATATAATGTATTTAAAACATGAACACCAGCTTGTTCATCTGTCATTTTTGAGGTTGTTTTGAGGTTGTTTTAAAGTGTGCGAATGAGGAGCAGTTTGAGCGTGGATAGAGTTAAACACAGCTGCAGGTCTGTGTGAACAGTGTCCTGTGTTTGTTGCAGATAAGAAGTTTGTGCTCCTGTCGCGGCTGCGCGCGCATCAGGCGTCTCACCGTGAGCCGAGCGCCGCGCTCAAGTGCAACCAGTGCGAGCGCGAGTTCACGACTGCAGCCGCTCTGCGCTCGCACAGCGTCACTCACCAGAGAGAGAAACCCTTCAGCTGCGACTTCTGCGGCCGCGGCTTCACCAGGTTCTACTCTGTGCTAAATCTGTCCTACTCTGATGTCCTCATGTCTCTCTTCCCCTGCTCCTCAAGAAGAATGTCTTCTCCTGCTCATGTCTCTCTCTCCTTGCTCCTCAGGCGGAGGTGTCTGCGTGACCACCTGACGGTCCACACTGGAGCTCGTCCGTTTCCGTGTCAGATCTGTGGGAAGCGTTTCTCGACATCAGCGAACCTGAGGATCCACAGTGTGTCCCACTCGGACCTGAGGCCTCACGCCTGCGCCCTCTGCCCCAAGACCTTCAAGACCAAGATGGGCCTTTCCCAGCACCGGGCCGTGCACTCCCCCCACAAACCTTTTACATGTGACCAGTGTGGGAGGAGCTTCGGCCTCAAGTTCAACTTCCAGAGACACGTGAAGATGCACACGGGGGAGAAGCCCTTCAGGTGATATAGATTATTGATTTTATAATTATGTATAAACCAGTGGGGGAGGGTCCCAGCTCAAAAGTGGCCAAAATGACGTGCGCTGACATGCTTGCAATACCACCCCGGGCCGGTTTGGAAATGAATTTGATTAAGCAAAAAGTTTATATTAATCCTAAAGCTGCTGAATCTCTAATTTTGTTGTTGCACACCAAGATTTACTTATTGATCCACCTCGTGGGTGTTTACCATCAGAATATCACATTTGGTCAGTTTAGTAGTTTTGTAGATACAAAGTACACATGCTGTGCGTAAACTGCGCAGAGGATGACGGCCCCTACACACCGCAGCGGAAGAGGCAGGCAGCGGCCAGACGCTCATCAGGTGTTCATCAGGCACTCATCAGTCAAATGACCCATGTATGATCTGACACCACGAGGACACACCTGCCGCTGCTGTGCATCAGTCTCGGTTCTGTCCTCTACACTGTCCACAGACGACACGGGGACAGCAGCAGCTGTGACACTTGCAGCAGCTTGTGTTAATCATCTGTATCATATATAAGGCCTTCTCTGGGGCTGTTGTGTTGATGGTTGTTGTGTTGCAGGTGTGAGACCTGTGGGCAGACCTTCTCTGGGACCTGGGCGCTGAAGAGCCACATGCAGATCCACGGAGAAGAGAAGCGCTTTATGTGCGACCGCTGCGGGAAAACTTTCCTCTATAACTGTCAACTGAAGAAGCACCAGGCTCTGCACGACAGGTGAGACCAGAGACCAGGTCCTGACCAGAGACCAGGTCCTGACCAGAGACCAGGTCCTGACCAGAGACCAGGTCCTGACCAGAGACCAGGTCCTGACCAGAGACCAGGTCCTGACCAGAGACCAGGTCCTGACCAGAGACCTGCTTAGTCTAGCTTTAGAGATGTTTAGACCTGCTAATCTAAAGCAGGTCTAAACATCTCTAAAGACCTCTCTTTTGTCTCGGCAGAGTCCCCGCCTCTGGTTCGAAGCGCCGCGGCTCTGGGCTCAAAACGTTTGGATGCAAAACGTGTTTGAAGACGTTCAGCTCCAGCAGCTCCCTTCACTCCCACCAGAAGAGCCACTCTGACCAGGTCTTCAACTGCGACCTCTGCTCCAAGTCCTTCCACCTGCGCCACCTCCACACCAGCCACATGCGCACGCACACGGGCGAGCGTGCACACAGCTGCCGCTACTGCCACAAAGGTGAGCGCCCTGAGAGGCACTATCTGACTCACAGGGCCGAGACCAGGGCCGAGACCAGGGCCGAGACCAGGGCCGAGACCAGGGCCGAGACCAGGGCCGAGACCAGGGCCGAGACCAGGGCCGAGACCAGGGCCGAGACCAGGGCCGAGACCAGGGCCGAGACCAGGGCCGAGACCAGGGCCGAGACCAGGGCCGAGACCAGGGCCGAGACCAGGGCCGAGACCAGGGCCGAGACCAGGGCCGAGACCAGGGCCGAGACCAGGGCCGAGACCAGGGCCGGTGTGAACTACAGACATACAAACTGTTCTAGAGTCAGGAACTAGAGACATGGATTGTAGCGACACTGGCCTCAGTCCCTGTGTCCCTCTTGTACCGCTGCACTGGCCTCAGTCCCTGTGTCCCTCTTGTACCGCTGCACTGGCCTCAGTCCCTGTGTCCCTCTTGTACCGCTGCACTGGCCTCAGTCCCTGTGTCCCTCTTGTACCGCTGCACTGGCCTCAGTCCCTGTGTCATCCTCTTGTCCTTGTGTGTCCCTCAGGTTTCATCTATGCCTCTCAGCTGCGCCAGCACGAGCTGCTCCACACCGGAGTGAAGCCGCATCAGTGCGACCAGTGTGGGAAGGAGTTCCGGACGCCGCAGAACTATCAGCGCCACCTGCTGGTTCACAGCGGAGAGAAACCGTACGAGTGTCAGAGCTGCGGCCGCCGCTTCAGACAGTCCAACCAGCTTAAGTCTCACATGCAGATCCACACTGGGGTCAAACTCTACGTGTGCGAGAGCTGTGGGCAGGGGTACTCTGACTCTAGGCAGCTGAGGAAACATGTCTGCAGCTGAGGGGGAAGGGGGAGAGAGGAGAGAGGAAGGAGAGAGGTGTAGACAAGGCTACTCAGACTCCAGGCAGCTGATGAAACATGTCTGCAGCAGGGAGGTGGGTGAGAGAAAGGGAAAAGGGGAGAGAGAGAAGGAGAGAGAAGAGAGGGTACTTCGACTCCAGGAAGCTGAGGAAGCACGTCTGCAGCTGAGGAGGAGGGGGAGACTGTTAGCAGGAGTGGAGGTGGGGCGTGGTCTAGAGAGTCCAGCAGTGAGTCTGGTTCCGTATCCTATGGATCAGAGAGAACTGTACAAGCAGCAGAGTCCTGATGGTTCTTATTTATTTTGAATAAATTGTAAAAAAGTAAATGTGACTGTTGTGTTTGAGGTTTGTGCAAAAGTACCAGTCCCTGCCCAAGCCCCGGTGATCCAAGATGGCGCCTTATTCATATTAATGGCTTGTGCTCAGTATGCTACACGCCATGGGGACCAGTGTCTGTGAGAGCTGTGGTGGATTTACAAAAACAATATCACAATAAGGGTGGATCAATGGTGAGTGGTTAACACCTTGTGCTTCCCAGCAATAACGTCCTGGGTTACAATTGGTGAGGATGAATTAGTGTGACTGAGGGACAGTTATTGAACTAGAGGAGTTGTACATGGAAGTCAATAGGAGCCAAGCCGTCCATCTTTATACAGTCTATTACGCTATTACAAATGGTCAGTGAAAAAAAAACAATCAAATATTTTCCCAAGAGGATGAGTTACACAGTATAGACCAAAAGTTTGAACACACTTTCTCATTCAATGAGTTTTCCTTCTTTTCATCTACACCAGGCTGTGTAAGGGCTGTTTGACCAATGAGGAGAGTGATGGTGCTGGGCCAGATGACCTGGCCTCCAGTCACCGGACCTGAACCCAATCCAGATGGTTTTGGGGCTGGACCACAGAGTGAAGGGACCAACAAGTGCTAAGGACCTCTGGGAACTCCTTCATGACTGTTGGAAGACCATTTCAGGTCACTACCTCTTGAAGCTCATTAAGACATTCTCTTAATCAATCAATCAACTTTATTTGTATGGCGCCTTTCCAACACAAGGCCACTCAAAGCGCCTCACAACCCACATAATATCAGACAAATCAGAAACATCAAAAACTACATATACAAACAATAAATACATTAAAAACAGAATAAAATCACAAGTAATGAAAAAAACCTTAAAATATTAAAAGCACACACGGGATTAAAATAATAAATAACCACAATGCATTAAAAAAAAGAGTATGTATCAATAAAATCCTTCAGCCGTATGCACAGCTAAAAAGAACAGTTTTTAGCCCTGATTTGAAAATTGCCAGAGTAGATGCTAGCCTCACATCCTCAGGAAGATTGTTCCAGATTTTAGCTCCATAAATCTCAAACGCTGCCTCCCCATGTTTAGTTCTGACTCTTGGAACCAGTAAGAGGCTACCTCCTGTGCTCCTCAGAGTCCGGGCCGGTTCATATGGCACTAACAAGTCGCTTAAGTACTTTGGTGCGAGGCCATGGAGAGACTTGTACACAAGCAGTGCTGCTTTGAAGTCTATTCTCTGAGCCACAGGAAGCCAGTGCAGAGACCTGAGAACTGGACTAATGTGGTCATATTTCCTGGTCCTGGTCAGGACTCGAGCTGCAGCATTTTGGACATACTGCAGTTGTTTTACAGCCTGTTTGGAGAGACCTGTGAGCAGGCCATTGCAGTAGTCTAACCTACTGGAGACAAATGCATGGATGAGAATCTCCAGATCTGATTTAGACACTATGTTTCTAATTTTGGCAATGTTTTTCAGATGGTAAAATGCTGCTGATGTTACTGATTTGATATGACTGCTAAAATTTAAGTCTGAGTCCATTATAACTCCTAGGTTTCTGACCTTGCCTACAGGTTCCAGGGAGAGAGACTGGAGGTGACGAATAACGCTCTCTCTTTGTTTCTGAGGACCAAAGACAATCAATTCTGTTTTGTCTGCGTTTAGCTGAAGGAAGTTATTTTGCATCCAATCACTATTCTGTTGAATACAGTGTATGAGTGAGTCCACTGGTCCATGTTCTCCTGCAGTAAGTGAGACATAAATTTGAGTGTCATCAGCGTAATTGTGGTAGGATACATTGTTGGAGCGTATTAACTGACCTGATGGCAGCATGTAAATATTGAACAGAAGAGGCCCCAGAATTGATCCCTGTGGCACTCCGCAGGTCAGAGCCATATCATCTGAGACACCGTTTCCTATCTGAACCAAGTATTTCCTGTCTTCTAGGTAAGACCTAAACCAACTTAGGGCAGTCCCAGTGACACCCACCCAGTGCTCTAGTCTCTGCATGAGGATCTCGTGGTCTACTGTGTCGAACGCAGCACTCAGATCCAACATTACTAAAACTGTGACTTTTCCTGTGTCGGTGTTAAGTCGGATGTCATTTGTAACCTTCACTAGTGCAGTCTCAGTGCTGTGATTGGCTCTAAAGCCGGACTGGAGCGCATCAAAGGAACTATTAGTTACTAAGAATTCTGTAAGTTGTTGGTAAGCAACTTTTTCCAGAATTTTTCCCATAAACGGCAGATTTGAAATGGGGCGGTAATTCTTAAGAACTGTGGCATCTAGACTCCTTTTTTAGGAGGGGTCTGATGACTGCCGTTTTCAGGGCCATTGGAAATGTTCCAGATGAGAGAGACATGTTCACTATTTGTGTGAGCAAAGGTAAAAGACTGCTCAAAACAGACTTAAAAAATGTAGTGGGTAGTACATCCAGGCTACATGTGGAGGAACTAAGGCTAGAGACAACATCTTGGACAGTTTCATTATCTGTTGGTGCAAAGTGCGATAGCTCAAAAAGCCTCACCGGCTGTTGTAATGTTATTTCTGCCTTGGAGGTGATGGCGTTTTTGATGCTCTGAACCTTGTCATTGAAAAATTGTGCAAACTCATTACATTTAGATTCTGAAGCAAATTCGAATGGCAGCTGAACAGGGGGGTTTGTTAATCCGTTAACTGTTGAAAACATAAGTCGTAGATTATTATTGCAGCCATCAATGGTTTTAGAAAAATACATTTCTCTTGTTCTACGTAGCACCCTGTTAAACTTGCACAACTCATTTTTGAAGATCTCATGATCAACCTGGAGATTGGATTTTCGCCACTTCCGCTCGGCCCTACGGCACTCTCTCTTCTGTACCATGACTGAGTCCATTTTAGTCCAGGGGGCCTTTGGCTTATTTGTAATCATTTTAACCTTCACAGGAGCGATGATGTCCAGAACATTTATAACATTGGCGGTGACAGAGTTAAACAATTCGTCAACAGTAGAACACAATGTGTTCTCAAAGTTTATCATTCCCATGAATAGTTCGGTTGTGTTTTCATTTATGTGTCTGTGTCTGACAATTGCAGATTCAGATATATATGGTTGTTTACTATCAAAACACATGTCAAAAAATACACAGAAATGATCTGACAGAGCCACGTCAACCGCATTTACATTTAAAATATTAACCCCCTTAGTAACCAGCAGGTCTAGAGTGTGCCCTTTGCTGTGGGTGGGGCCACTCACGTGCTGAGTGAGACCAAATGTTTCAAGTACAGAACTCAGCTCTTTTGCATTTTTGTCATTGCCATTATCCACATGAATATTAAAATCACCTGTAATCACTAAACTATCAAAATCTGTGCAAACAACTGAAAGCAACTCAGTGAAATTATCAAAGAAATTCTGACATGACTGCGGTGGCTTGTACAGGACAATGATAAGAATAGAAGGAGATTGTTTTTGTTCTATTTTAAAAGAAATATACTCAAATGATAGAACATTTCCAAGGAGAATTCTATGAGAGATAATATGATCTCTAAATAATGCAGCAATGCCTCCCCCCCTTTTATTTTCTCGTATTTCAGATTCAAATTTGAAGTTTGGTGGCGTTGCTTCTATTAAAACCGCATTACCTGTACTCTGGTCAAGCCAAGTTTCAGTCAGAAACATAAAATCAAGATCATAAGAACGAATAAAATTATTAATTAAAAATGATTTGTTGCACAGTGATCTGACATTAAGCATAGCAATTTTAAAATTAATATCAGTAACAGTGGGTTTAGTTAATTGATTTTTACAAGGAGCAGGAATTAGATTTGAATGTCTAACTGCTGTCCTTCTGTTATGATTTGGTTTTCCATTCAAATAAAAACATTTTTTGAAACTGATGCGAGGAACACACACAGTTTCTATTTGTCTAACATGTGAACTCTTTTGCTGTGTAAGTCCCGGATTCAGGACGGCATTGCTTCGTTGTTTAGAGCAGGAGGCAGCACGGTTCAGAGGCAAGACTGTTATTTCACTGCCAGACGGAAAGGGGTCAGTGAGCTTCAAGAGGTGACCAAAAGTGTGTGAAGTTTTTCTCTGAAGTAATCAGAGAAAAAGGTGCTAATTTGAATCAAAGAACCTAAAATATAAGACATATTTACAGTTTCTCCATTTTTTTTTTGTTTTAGTACGTACATAATTCCACATTAGTTAATTCATAGTCTTGATGCCTTCAGTGTGAATCTACAAATTTCATGAAAATAAAAAACTCTTTGAATGAGAAGGTGTGTCCAAACTTTTGGTCTGTGCTGTAGATAACGCAATAAAACAGAACAAGATCAAAAGTTGATTTTCTCAGTGACAGCGTGGCGCATGCGCCGTGCACCGTCCCGCGGTTCTGTCATGGATCTACGAGTTCTGTGCGCTCGCGACTCATGCTAACCTCCTTTTCGACAGTTTTTCCCGCTTTAAACTTCTCAAACTCATAAAGAACCTCAGGTAGGACATGAGCTGAGGCCGCAGGAGTCGAACCACCCCCTGTCCTGGGAATAGTACCCTGTGCCCGGCGGAGAGAGCGGCCGTGAACCGCAGAAGTTTGGGCCGTTAGCTGCTGAAGCTAAAGTGGCTAGCAGCTTGTTTTGGTACATATGCTAACGGAGCTAACTCTTGTAAGCGGTCAGTAACATTATTATGATTAGATATGTCCAGTTTAAGATGTAGTTTGTGGTGGGTGACTTTAGTCTAATAGCACATTAGTTTGTCTTCACAACATGCTTCATCTTCAGTGTTAGAGCCCTGTGAGTCACTATCTGCCTCTTTGGGCTGAGAGCTGAGTGAGAGTGGTCTTCTCTTTGATCTAAAGATGTGACATCATAAATACTTGATGTGAAACAAGTCACAGAAGCACTTGTTTTCGAGCCAGAACCAGAGACATGGGTTTAATACAGAGTTCTAAGTGATTTAGTAATGAGACTTTGTTGTTAAATATCATACTAACGCTGATGTCACTGCTGCAAGTCTGAGTGCGGCTGTGGACATGTCCAGACCTCTTTTTCGCTCACTCCCAGTGGGGGAGGCAGGGGTGAGGGAGTAGTCCCCTCTCCTCCAGACTGCAGAGAAGGCTCCCCATTGGCTTATTCCTGTTTTCGTTCTTTTTCCAGTCGATCTTCACTGCAGCCTCTGAGCGCAACCACCAGGACCCTTTGCTCAAGACCAAGACCTGGACCATGGCCCCGGTGTCGGACGTGGAGCTGGAGGCGGACAGCAGTAGACCTCTGTCCAAAGAAGACTGTGTTTGCCCCATCTGCCTGGAGATCTTCATGGAACCTGTGACTCTGCCCTGCTCCCACACCTTCTGTAAGGTCAGTCCTCCTCCTCTCTCTGGTCTCTCTCTCTCTCTCTCTGCTCTCTCTTTTTCTGGTCTCTCTCTGGTATCTCTGGTCTCTCAGCCTTTCTTCTTCTTCTTTGGTTGCTTAACAGCGGTTGCGAACTAGTATAGCGCATTACCGCCACCCACCAGATAGATTGTGCATGTGTCACCTCTATGGCTTACACCTTCCGAAACAGTTTCGTAGCTTGCAAACTACAGTAAATAAAACAAAAAAGATAACTTATGCATGCACATTTTAAATTCTTCTTGAGTCCAGCGTTTTAAAAAATCAAACAAATATGTAATCACTCTATAATCTGATTCTTTAGATAGTATGTCTTTTAGGGTAAACTTTTCCCCACAATTATCTATTTTCCTTTTAAGTAAAATCCTTTCTCTTGAACTTTCTGAATATAATTAAAATATGCTCCACTGTCTCTGGCAGCTCTCAGCCTTTGGACTCTTCTCTCTGGTCTCTCTCTGGTCTCTCTGTAGTCTCTCTCTAGTCTCTGATCTGGACCAGTGATATAAACATGCGATTGTACCTCTGTCTCAGGTGTGCTTCTTGGAGTCAGTGGACAAAGCCACTCTCTGCTGCCCCCTGTGTCGGAAGAGAGTATCAACGTGGGCACGACACCAGACACGCAAGAAGAGTTTAGTGAACGAGTCTCTGTGGAAGAACATCCAGAGATGTTTTCCCAGGAGTGAGGAGAGGAGACAGGGGGGAGGAGAGGAGCACATGGGTGAGACACAATAACACGCTAATACACATGCTACATATGTATAAGAGTGGTGGTAGCAGCAGCAGTAGTATTCCCTGTACAGTGTTGTGATTGGTTGCTGTGTGTTGCAGAGGTGATGTGTTTCCGCAGACTGTGTGAGCCTGGAGCACTGAGGCAGGAGTATGAGGACCAGGTCTCCAAGGTGAGCACCAGTTTGGTTTTGGTCTCTCTCTGGTCTCTCTCCGGTTTCTCTGGTCTCCCTCTCTGGTCTCCCTCTCTGGTCTCCCTCTCTGGTCTCCCTTTCTTGTGTGTCTTTCTGGTCTCTCTCTCTCTGCTCTCTCTTTTTGGTCTCTCTTGTCTCTCTCCAGTTTCTTTCTCTGGTCTCTCAGTGTGTGTGTGTGTTCAGCTGTCAGAAGAGAAGCGGGTTCTGGATGAGCAGGAGCGCCAGGCAAGTGAGGAGTTAATCCAGAGACTGTTGGCAGAAGAAGAAGAACTTCAGAAGGAGCAGAGACAGATACGCCATGAGGACGAGAGGCTGGCCAGACTGCTGAGCCAAGAACTGGTGCGTAAAAAAAGTATAAATGCAAAAGTGTGTCCCCATAATAATAGATACAAATGGTGTGTGTGTGTGTGTGTCTGTCCAAAAGAATAGATACAAGTGTTTGTTTCCATGTGTTTATTGAACTATGTTTTCAGAACTCTGCAGATCAGCGGCGCCCTCCAGAGGCCACAGTGAAGAAGAAACCAGTGGGCCAGATGGACAGGTCTGAGACTGGACCCTGAGACTGGACCCTGAGACTGGACCCTGAGACTGGACCCTGAGACTGGACCCTGAGACTGGACCCTGAGACTGGACCCTGAGACTGGACCCTGAGACTGGACCCTGAGACTGGACCCTGAGACTGGACCCTGAGACTGGACCCTGAGAGTCTGATGATGTTGCTGTTCCTCTCTCAGGTTTCTGTCTCCGCTCTCCAAAGGCTCCACCCACATCTCCCCCAACAATAAGGTGACACACACACTTGTATCTGTACCTTTGTAGGGAAAGACACCTCTCTGACAGTGGTCTCTGTTTCAGGAGTACATCTCTGTTCCCCAGACTTCATCCTCAGAACCTCAAACCGATCAATCACAGCCTCAGGACCCTGACCTCAACGACATAGACCAATCAGCTCATGGGGACCGGCCTCCAGAGGGCGGGGTGCTGTCTGAGTGGGAGGCAGAGCTTCAGCGCCGCAGGTAAACATGACCTAGCTGTCATCTGCAGCTAGCGTCATATTAGCAGTTAACATCAGGAGCTAACATCAGATTCTGTTGCAGGCAGCAGGAGGAGGAGGACCTGCGTGTGGCTCTGCAGCTTCAGCGTGAACTCGATCGTCAGCAGCGACTCACAGACCGCAGCAAAGGCTCCGAGGACGCTTACGAGCTGCGCACACCGCGAAGAGCAGGAGGAGGAAGAGGAGGAGCAGCGACTGCTACTGTTACTGCTGGAGCCCGCGCACGCAAACGGTCGCGCTCCTCCTCTAGTTCCAGTGCGCCTCCTCACGCAATGCCACCTCACTCGCCGTGTCCTCACACGCCGCCTCCTCATGCCTCCCAAACGCTCCCTGTGTCTCCTGCTCTCAGAGGGGCACGGCAGACAACGCTCACAGACCTGTTCAACCTCCACAGTTAGAATAAAGACAAGAGACTTTAACTGCTCTGGCTTCACTATGAGGGTTCACTCTCTTTGATCTAAAGATGTGACATCACAAATGCATGTTATGACAAGCAACTGTTTTAGAGCCAGAACTAGAGACATGGGTTTAATACAGAGTTCTGTCTGAAAGTTAGACCCCAGCTTTAATTGAGCTTTTTCTTCAGTTTCTCTAATCATCCGTTCATCTTTGGGCATGTGTATATGGACTGGTCTAGACCTGGATCTGGGACTTTCTCATTGGTGGAAATGTCTGTTCTAATTTACTTTTGTACATTGTGTGTAGAGATAAGAGACAATAGTTCCTGGTTTAGACCGGTTTAGACCCAGTTCACTCCTGTTTAAGTGCCTACATCCACGCTCTGGTTCAGACCTGGTTCAGACTCCTGTGAATCCTGATTAAACGGTTTGTAAAAAAGTCATGTTTTGTGTCTTTTCAAACCTCAACTGTTTTTACAGCAGAAACCAGAGAGAGGCCAGAAAGACCAGAGAGAGTGAGAGACCAGAATACAGTCTATTTGAATAGTTTACATGCAAAACAGATGGAAACATATCAGAAAAGCTTACGGTTTTATCTTTACCAAGTTTTGTGAAAAGCCAATCTATTTTTGTGCCGTACAGATAAAGTTCCCCCCTTTCTGTGTGCAGCCATAAACAGAACATGTTGAAGATTATAACTAGAGAAACACAATATTTGGACACAATTTCAAAACGGAGATATCTGTTTTTGCACGCGTACTAGACAAATACGACGCAGCAGCGACGTCCTGTGGACAGAGTCTGAACTACAAGTGAAGCACAAACGCGGTGAGAATGTTTAGTCTCTGTCCGCAAAAGATCATAAATGAGGACACACTGCACTGGAACAACGTGGACAGAAACATGGTGAAGATTCTGGAAGATGACTGTCCCAACGAAGGAACAAGGAACTGTCGAAGAATGAGACTTTCGGTGGGTTCAGCTGCAGATTCTTCAGTGTGGAGTACATTTTACGTCACATCGAAATATATCACATGAGGAAAAACTAGTCTCTGGATCATTTAATATTCACTTCATGTGTCATTGTTAACAAAACAAAGGCACAGTTTTGTTATTATAGATCCATGCTACAAAGTGACAAACCCACGGCGCTCGCAGCTCAGACACGGGGCCAGGAACTCTGTTCAGTTCCATAAACGCAATTGTGACTTAGAAGTTATCAATTTCAATTAAATGAATCAAGAAAATTTATATCGCTATTACTCCAAATTATTCGCATAGGTCAGGATGGCCGAGCGGTCTAAGGCGCTGCGTTCAGGTCGCAGTCTCCCCTGGAGGCGTGGGTTCGAATCCCACTTCTGACAATAAGTTTTCGTTTTGACAAATATTTCAAAACGTATAAGTGTTTTGAGAATTTAAATAAAATCCAAGACATTAAAACACAAACCCATTATCAAGAATAACTCTGAAGATTATTGCACATTATTTGTATCCATTAAAATTATGTTCATTCCATGTTAGCTTTGTTTTTCCACCATGTTTTTAATGTTAGGATATTAGGCGTTTGTTTTGTTAAAGTTAGTGTAATGTAGTTTCTCCTAGTGATGTGCTGAGCGTGCCGGGTCTTCGAAGCGTGTACCGAGTAAAAAAGGGGCGTATTTTTTGAAGCGTGGTTCGAGGCGTGTGTTGGTGACGTATGTGGTGACGTTCGAAGCCTCGCGTAGCGCCCGCACCACGTGACGGTTCATATAGTGCTTCATATAGTTCGGAGAGTGCATTGCTTTGACAGGTGCTTTGTGAGCCGCGGCTGTACCATAGACTGTATTGGCTGTCCCCGTCTGCTTCTGTGTGCGTACGTGCGTGTGCGTACGTGTGTGTGCGTGCGTGTGTGTGCGTACGTGTGTGTGCGTGATGTGGAGCAGTCCTGTACTAGATAGTATAGAGAAACTACTTCATATGAAATACAATTAAAAACGTTTCACTTTAGTAAAACCTCATATATCAAGGCTTCAAGTTAGTACTAATAATACGCTGGATAATACATTTCACAAAAGCTGTGTGGCACAGTCGGTATATGACGGACTCCGAAGTAGAAGATATATCGTTCGAATCCTGGTCTACCCATAATAAATTTTGTGTTGCAAAGTAAATGTATTTATTTATTGGGAATAAATGGTTTGTTGTGTTTAATTAATCCACCTCTTGGTAGTTTTTCCTCCATTAATCACTTTCTGTAGAACTGTATTACTTTGGATGTGTTTGTTGTATCAACACAATTGACTGAAAGACTCAAATAGTTCATAGTTCATGAAGCATCATTTCAAACACAACACGTTAGACCATAGATTGTAAATATACATTTTAACATTAGATCTCACCATTCATTGTAAGCACTTAAGAGTGTTATGTATTTCTTTGTCCACATGATGGCGTAGTGGAGCATGATTCACCTCGAGCCTTCGACTCATGGGCCGAGTAATAGGCTGCGATCCCTCAAGGCTTCATGGGGCTTCATATTGCCATCACTAGTTTCTCCATCTGAACCTGGGCAGAATTGCGCTGGGCTTAAACCATGGACCCACTATCAAATCTGAGCATTTAGTACCGAGCAGATAATTGACATATTGTGTTATTTCTCTTTTTAAGTGAAGCACGACAGTTGGTTACGTTTATGGTTCTGAACAGCCAGATTAGTCACACAGCCGAGCTTTCTGTGGGATGAAACGCCAAGATTTAAGAGGTAGCAGAAAGCATGGGGAAAAAAAATAGTACTGACTATGTGTTCTGTAATAAATTCTTTCAATAAAAAAAAAAAGGACCTGAGAGAGACAAGACCTCTGAACTAATCACTAGTTTTCTTCTGACTATTGTTATTCTATTGTTATTAAGTTATATTTTATTTGTTTTAAGTTATAATGTTAATGTAGTAATATGTAATTCAAGTAATATGTGGCTAAAATATATTATATAAACAGACTATGTCTGTTTGTTATGTGAGATTTTGTCAGGGTTAAGTGTGGTTAAATATCAGCATTACCAACTATAAATAAAGGTAAGTGTCATGTGACACCAGCGGCCATGTGACACCAGCGGCCATGTGACACCAGCGGCCATGTGACACCAGCGGCCATGTGACACCAGCGGTCAGGATGTTGACGCAAACACAGAGTCGTGTTGACAGTTTATTAACACATGATGTTTTTGGTCAAAATCAAAAACATGAAAATGAGTAAAACATTTCAGCAAATGAAACAAAAAAGTGGAATAAAAACAGATCTCAGTGTTCGAGCCGACCGAGGAACCTGCAGAGAGAGCAGAGGTTAGATTTACAGGTCTAAAGCAGGTCTTACGCAGGTCTAAAGCAGGTCTAAAGCAGGACTACAGCAGGACTACAGCAGGACTACAGCAGGACTACAGCAGGACTACAGCAGGACTACAGCAGGACTACAGCAGGACTACAGCAGGACTACAGCAGGACTACAGCAGGACTAAACAGGTCCAACCTCAGGTTCAGGATCTTCAGTTGATCGTCTAGTTCCATCCTCACAATTCCGTCGTCTCCGTCAATACTGAGCAGGATCCCTGTGGCCTCGCGGTCCTCCCCCAGGATCACCTTCACCTGCAGGAGGTCAGGGGTCACAGCAGTAGGTTAGGGGCATGGATCTATAATATCTAGGTAGTGTATTTATATTTACATTAACCAATAAAATGCACCATAGAACTCAATGTAAACTAAAAATCCCACAAAATACGATCTTTATGAAAGCTGTAGGTTCTCTGTCAGCTGTTTTAGTTTACAGGGAGTTCTATGGGACTTTTTATGGGTAACATGAATTTAGTCTGCAGTACCCAAGCCCCGGTGATCCAAGATGGCGCCCTATTCAAATGAATGGCTTGTGCTCAGTAGCGCATGGGACTTCATGGAGACCGGGAGATTAGCTGAACTCGCCTATAATTGGGCATCGTCTGGTCCTCCCGGTTCTGCGCAGTGGATTATCTCCCATAATGCGTCGGGTCAAAACGTGCGTGTGTGGCTTTCATGCACGCGCACAGAGGGGCTCGGCTGCGCTCTAACCAATCAGAGCTGCTCATCAGAGCAGCGGAAGAGCGGAGCCAGAGGGGGAAGGAAAGGAGCAGAGTTTGTGGCAGTAAAGTGTGGATTTAAAGAAAACCGAAAGATTTGAGAAGAAAAAAAGTTCAGGATGACAATGGACACTAAAATCCCCACAAAATCCGATCTTTATGAAAGCTGTAGGTTCTCTGTCAGCTGAGGTCGTACTGTTTTAATTTACATTGAGTTCTATGGGACTTTTTTCTGGGTAGCCCTCGTGAATTTAGTCTGCAGTACCACGGGCGCCCCCTGTGGCCATGGGTGGGACAGCTGTAAGCTAGTAATACTCTATCCAGTTATTATTATAGATCCATGGCAGAACCACGTGTGCCAGTGGCTATAAGCTAGCAACACAATAAATAGATGGCCACTGAGCAACAAGCCATTGACTTGAATTGGCCGCGATCTTGGATCACCGGGGGTTGGTCAGGAGTCACAACACGAGCCAGGGTCAGGCTCAGGGGTCAGGGGTCAGAGGTCAGTACCTTGTTGTTCTTAGTGGGAGTGACTGGTTCCAGGTGGTCACTGCTGACGCTCACCACTTTCTCAGACTCCTGCATGAACACAGAACACATCCCACCCTGCAACACACAACAGGAGGCTCAGGAGGATCAGCAGCGGCAGCAGCAGCAGCAGCAGCAGCAGTAACAGTAACAGTAACAGTAGCAGCATCAGTAGCTCACCGTGACGCTCCTGATGACGCCCGTCTGTCCCATCAGGTCCATGAAGGAGTCTTTGACCCGGACCAGGATGTCGGTGGTGACCCAGTCCCCGCCCCCCTGCTCGATGTTGGACCCAGGAGTGTGAGGGTTGTACCCACCAGGAGAGGGCGCTCCAGGGGTCATGGGACTGTATCCCACTGGACTGGGACTGGGGCTGGCCTGGGAGCAGGGGAAGACACACGAGCTCCTCATCACAGGTCTACACAAACACTACAGACTAAAGAGGCCAGAGAGAGACCATAGGAAGAGACAAGACCAGAGAGAGAGACCAGATAGAGAGACCAGAGGGAGAGACCAAAGGGAAAGACAAGACCAGAGAGAGAGAACAGAGAGAACAGAGAGAGACCAGAACGAGACCAGAGAGAGACAAGAGGGATAGACCAGAATGAGACCAGAGAGAGACTGGAGAGAGAGACCAGAGAGAGAGACCAGAGGGAGACACTAGTGTAGCTTCTTATGAGAGCTCCTGATGTATAAGTACCTGGTAAGCCATGGGGGAGGGTGTGGGGTGGTAGGAGGCAGGGGAGTGTGTGTTCTGGTACACTCCCACAGGAGACGGCGCCACCTGGTGGTAGCTCTGAGGACTGGGACTGGGCTGGTACGAACCCTGAGGGGAGGGGGCTGCGTATGGAGAGTACTGCTCTGTGTTGTACCTGAAACACAACATAGGGGTCAGAGGAGGAGGAGGAGGAGAAGAGGAGCGAGAGAGAGGAGGAAAGGTGGAGGAGGAGTAGCATCAGGAGTTGAGGGCGAGATGAGGCAGAGGAGGATCAGTAGGAGGAGCAGCAGTATCATCATCATTACTCACATAGCAGGCGTCCCCGGGGTCTGGGGCTGGTACTGGGTGTTGACCTGGGGGGACGGGGCCTCTGGGTACCCAGGAGTCTGAGGGTTCGGGGTGGAGCCGTATCCCTGCGGCGACGGCGACGGTTCATCATCGTAACCAAAATCATACTCCTCATCGTTTCTGAGGAAGAGAAGACGATCCTGGTGAGAGGGACCAGAGAGGGACCAGAGAGAGTGCAGAGAAAGGGAGCAGAGAAAGACCAGACAGACCATAGAGAAGAGCAGAGAGACCAGAGAGAGGAGAAAAAACCTCATCCAGAAGTAACACAAAAGACTGACCTGGAGGCGGTGTGGTATTGGGACTGACCTGGAGGGGGTGTTGGGGTTGTTGGGGTCCCAGGCTCCGCTCTGTCCTGGCGTCCTGCTCCCATCATGCAGCGGGGTCTGGGAGCCGTAGTGAGGCGTGCGGCTTCCTGTGGACACACGGTTTGAGAAGAAGAAGCTCCGTGAACAAGAATATAGAGCTGAATTCTTCCATAGTAACCTCATAGCAACCAAAGAGCCAATCAGGAGCAAGGTCGGTCCAGTTTACATCAGAAAGAGAGCGAATAGAGCAGAGAGACAGACCAGAGAAAGAATGACAAAAAGTTAGACGAAGGAAAATTGGACCAGCATAATTACCAAAACTACAAGCTTGGCTGAATCCTGGCTCTCACCATTAGAGTACAGTACAGTACAGAATGCTAATGTACAGTACAGTACAGAATGCTAATGTACAGTACAGAATGCTAATTTACAGTACAGTACAGTACATAAACCCGGCTCTCACCGTCGTGCAGTGGCGTCTGAGAGCCGTACATAGGCGTCCTGGAGCCTGTGCCGTACATGGGCGTCTGGGAACCGTACATGGGCGTGCGGCTGTGGGCTGACGTCATGCCGTCGTGACGCTTCGCCCCCCTGTGGACACATGGGAGAATGCAGGGTTAGAGAGAGAAAGAGAGAGCCCTGTGCGTGTGTGAGAGAGCCCTGTGGCATTCTCCCCTGTAGACACAAAGAGACACACACAGAGACAAACACACACACATAGAGACGTACATGGAGGCGAGACGTTGGCGGTCCACAGAGATGGTCTGACATGTGGAGTGGAGCTCGACGCGCGCCGTGGACTCTGTGGCATCTTTCACCACACCAATATAACCTGAGAAAACACAGGTCAGAGACCAGAGAGAGACTAGAGAGAGACCAGAGAGAGACTAAAGAGAGACCAGAGACCAGAGAGAGACTAAAGAGAGACCAGAGACCAGAGAGAGACTAAAGAGACCAGAGACTAGAGAGAGACCAGAGAGAGACTAAAGAGAGACCAGAGACCAGAGAGAGACTAAAGAGACCAGAGACCAGAGACTAGAGAGAGACCAGAGACCAGAGAGAGAGACCAGAGACAGACCAGAGAGATACTAGAGACCAGAGAGAACAGGGGCCGTGTGTTACCTTTGTACGGCCCCTGTGAGATGCGCACGGTCTGTCCAATCAGCTCGTTGTCTCTGCGTCCTCTTCCTCGTCCCATCCCTCCTCCTCCTCCTCCTCCTGCTCCTCCTCCTCTCTGCTGCGCTCCTACAAACACCAAACATCAATAATACACAACATGTGTCGACAGAATCCCCCAGTGGGGGCCTTTACAACATTTAGAAAGTTGAGAATCTCAATATTGATATTGAATAGTAGCAGCACCTCCTCCTCCGTGGTGCATGGGGCTGCTGATTCGTGGACTCATTGGAGCGAATCCTCCCACCGTGAAGTTGGTGACATCTCGTGGCTGCAGCAGAAACAGAACATTCAGAAAGTACAACTGAAACCATGTGAGAGACCAGAAAAAGAGACCGGAGAGAGTGGGGAGAGAGAGACCAGAGAGAGAGACCGGAGAGAGAGTGGAAAGGCTCTGGCTCTGACCTTGGAGCCTCCAGCCAGCACCAGGTGTCTCGTCTTGCAAACAAACATTCCTCCGTTTTCCACCAGTTTTTTACAGTGCAGAAAAGCAAAGCCTCGGAACAAGTGTCGGATCTCCCCCTCCCGGCCCTGAAACCAACAGACACACACATGAGAGAGAGATACACACAGACACACACCGTCTACAGGAGCCTCTAACCCTATTTATAATGTCCATCAGTTCATGTAATAGCAGATCTGTGTCTTGTTGTGTATAGTGTGTGTGTGTTCTGTGTGTCATATGTTGTGTTGCTGTACACACAGAGTGTGGTCCGTCGATCACTTTGACGATGTCCTTTACGTGGATGTTGTTTTGCTCTGAGTCCAGAGCGACAGCAAAGCGGTTGTCCTTCCTCCGGTTCACCGCCTGGTGGCGCACTGTCAGCACTTTACCGTGCATGTTCAGCACCTGCGGAAGAAGACAGAGGAGAAGGGGGGGGGGGGGGTTCATGTTATAGTAGCAGTTATGATGTTGTTGGAGCAAACACCAACCCCCGGTGATCCAAGATGGCGGCCTGTTCAGATCAAGAGCTTATGCTCAGTGGCACCTCACCATGGGCACCGAAAGATTATCAGAATTCACCCATATTTGGGCATGACATGCTGCCATCTCACTCCGGGCCGGTGGGGGTGTACCCGGAATAAGAATTACCCAATGCTTTTGTATGGCGTCTTCTTTCCTCTCGAAAACGGCTTTACAGGATGGTCCAAAAGTCGGCTCTTGGCTGCAGATGTGTGTCCATGCTGAGGGGAGTAATTTTTTTTTTGGACCAGTCTAGTTTAGCCGCTGTGGACTTCAGAAGGCACTCGTTAAATGAATGGGACTAGTGCCGGCTAACTCATGCTCAAATTGCGTTTTTCATTTTTCTACCCTCCGGCCGATTGAAAAAGCCCCACAGAAGGCAAAAGCAGTGGCAAATAAGTTTCAATGGCAGAGAAAGGTGTGACTACGTCCTTATATTTATGGTCTATGATACTAACAAGAGAGGCTCTCATGCACGTGCTCAGGGGGCAGTGTTCTGACCATTCAGACCTGCTGATCAGAGCGGTGTTAGAGCGGGAGGAAAAGCAGCAGAGTTTGTTGAACTAAAGTGTGGATTTATAGAAAACTGAATTTAACAAAACAAAAAATTCAGGACGACAAGGGACACCTCTTTTATGAAAGCTGTAGGTTCTCTGTCTGCTGAGGTCCAGCTGTTTAGTTTACATTGAGTTCTATGGAACATTTTTCTAGGTAACATGACTTTAGTCTGCTGTACCGCAGGTGGGCCCCGTGCCCATCGGTGGAAGCCGCGAAAGGTGAACCGCGTCATTCTCTATATTTATCCTGGACAGACGGAAACACACACACACACACACACACTCACCTGGAACGTCTCCCTCTCCAGCCGTACAATGACCCCTACAGTCTGGGGGTCTAACTGCACCAGCTCCCCCCACTCATGCTGCCCCCCTGCGTCCACCCCTGACGCCGTCTCCGAGCACAGCTGCAAGTCCCGAGGGAGGACCTTCAACTGTGGAGAGAGAGGGAGGGAGAGGAAAGAAGAGCGAGAGGAGAGGAGAAGAGAGGAGAGGGAGAGACTGTTTTAGATCAGGTCTAGAGAGAGAGAGACTGGTGTCTGGTCTCTGGTCTTCGTTTCAGATCCCTGGTCCTGGTCTCTGGTCCTGGTCTCTGGTCCCTGGTTCTGGTCCTGGTCCAGGTCTTACCTCGTGCATGGTGAGGTCAGAGAACAGGATGACAAAGTTCTCCTCCACTCGGACGATGAGGCCTGTGTCTCCCTCGTATCGTCCTGCGATCACCTTCACGTGGTCTCCCATCCGGAAATACTTCTTCAACTCATGAGCCGGGAACTCCAGGGGGTCCTGAGAAACCCAGAGGGAGGGGCTGAGTGTGACATCACCACCGTGTGACATCACCACCGTGTGACATCACCACAGTGTAATGACTGGAGTAGGGATTCGCACATCAATACCTACAGATCGGGTGCGTAGGAAGAGAGGCCTATATAGCCTGATGTCAGAGAGAGTTTGCTTGATGAAGGCATAACGCCGAAACGTCGCAATTTAAATAAATAATTTTTAATTTGCAAGTAAGATGGTGTGCGGGATTATTCTCTCTCTGACATCACCACAGTGTGACATCACCACAGTGTGACATCACCACAGTGTTAGCCATTATACAGGAGCTGACTTGAACATAAATGGGCATGTTTTTTGACAGTGCTAGGTTAGCGCTGTTAGCTTAGCGCTTTAACAGAGACAGATGTGTTGCTAATATGCTCATATCTGGATTTCCAAAGACAATATCACAAATGAACAGCATCAAAGAGAAACCACACATTTAAAGGAGCAGTATGTAATATTTGCATGTCAAGTCATCATTAAATGACCCGAATATTTCAAAAGGCGTTATTAAATCATACTCTTTTCGAATTCATCTTTAACTGATAACAGTAGTTCAGCCGAGATATTTGATCATCAAAATTAGTTTTACGACCCGTAAAAGTTGTTATTGTTTTGATTTTGATGTCCTACCCTCCGCCGTTTCGCCAATCAGGAAGTGTCATGTACGTCCGTGATCGTGTTGCCAGAACTCCGCGCGGCTCATTAATCTCAGTGGTAAAATAACATGTGGCGTAGAACTAAAAAAGGTCTTGTTATGACTCTCAAATAATTAATGACAAAACAAAGACTAAAACGAGGATTTATATCGGGATGCCTTTGAACAATTGAGACAGCTGATAAAAGTTCACGTGTGATGCAGAATTTTCTAGTTTGATTGCGTTCTTCACGGTGTCCCTATGAACCGGTGGCCTAGCGGTCTAAGCTGCGCGCTTACGATGCAGGAACCCGGGTTCGATTCCGGGCTATGTCCTTTTGTATTTATTGCATGTGATCACATTCTATGACAGATTGCTCTAAAAACGGTAAAAGATGAAGGTCAAGACGTTTTTTTGCAGATTATAGCTTAATTGTAAAAATAATCATTTAAGACCACATGTACCCCAATTAAAATAATGTTAGTCTCTTTTTGATGTGGGACTTTTACATGTTTGTCTAAAAAATAGGGAATAAATAAAATTGAAAGGTGATATCCTCTGGAGCAAACCCTGATGTTGATACGCTGAAGAAATACGTTCCAACATCCATTCTTCCCACTCCTATTTTGGACATCAATTTCTTATTTATTTTGCATAAACTATGTATAATTACATTGCTTTTATTTTGTTTTTGTTTTTTATCTCAAATGTCCAAATTATAATAATAAAAAAACATGAATCAAAACATTCATTCAGCATTAGCACGGCTGTCATGGCAATGTGAATGGAGACGGACAAACAACTGATAAAATAATTCCTTGTGTTTGCTGCTGGATTTGGTGTGAATCTGGCAACCTGAGTCAGGGAGAGTGGGAGAGGACTACAAAATATTGACTGTGACTGCAGTACCACTTTTGGCCAGATTTTTACATATTGCTCCTTTAAGCCCAGAATGTGAGTGTGACATAAACGTTTTACATCAAGTCAATAGGAGCCAGAGGGAGGAGCCAAACTTCATAATGAGCACTTCCCTGTTGGGCTGTATTGAGCTAGCGGGTTAGCATTGTCCATCTGTGTCCATCTGTCTACAGTCTATGATCACAGCCGTTACTTCTGCGTGTGTTTGTCTCTGTGTGCGTGTGTGTGTGTGTGTGTGTGTGCGTGTGTTACCTTCAGGTCCTCGTGCTTGGGCATGATGGTGATCTTGTTGCCGTCCACACTCAGGATCTTGCCCTGCAGGTTGATCAGTTCTCCTTCACACACCTCCACGTTGTCTCCAGCCTGAAGGTTGTGCTCCCGCTCTTTCCCTGGAAACAAACCTCATCAGACGCCGTTTATGTGAAAGAACCAGAGGAACCTTCAGAGGAACCTTCAGAGGAACCTTCAGAGGAACCTTCAGAGGAACCTTCAGAGGAACCTTCAGAGGAAACTTTAGAGGAACTGAGAGAGGGACCTTCAGAGCGATAGAACTCTGTAATAAACCCCTGTCTCAGGCTCTTGTCTCTAAAACAGTTTCTTCTGGTCTTGGTCTCGTCCTGGTCTGGATTTGGTCTCCATCTTCTCATATCATGTATCTATGTCTCCGTCACAGCTTTAGATCGTTTTTTTCAGACAGAAAAGTGTAAAAGGGTGTCCTGAGAGTCAGATAGTGACTCCCAGGGCTCTCTCTGACACATCAACAACATAACAACAGTACTGTACCCATGCTCCCTTCGCGGTGGAGGATCCTTGCGGTTCTCTTTTGGCACTGCATCTCGACTTCTCGACTTCTCAACCTCTATTTCTACTTTATTTTCTGTATTATTTGACTTTCTGAGGTTTTGATTCAAACAGCAGAAATTTTGAAAAACAACAAATTTCTTCAGATCCAGAAGTCACAGCTGCCATGGGACAGACCGGACAAACAGAGCTGATGGTAGTCACTATCTGACTCTGTTGGCTCAGAGCTGATTGGCTGAGAGAGGGTGGTCCTCTCTTTGTCTGAAAAAAACTGATCTAACGATGAGACCACAGGTGAGAGAGCACAGGTGTGAGACTCACCGGACTCAGTGACCACCTCCAGGTCGATGCCTTCAGGCTGATCCTCAAACTTCTCCAGCTCCGACAGAGTGGGCTTCACTCCGTCTGTGATCTGAGGGACACAAGGAGATCAGATCTTTAAGTCTCTCCCTCTCTGGTCTCTCCCTCTCTGGTCTCTCCCTCTCTGGTCTCTCCCTCTCTGGTCTCTCCCTCTCTGGTCTCTCACCACTGCAGACATGGCGAAGCTCTTGAACAGGAATCCTTTGCGACTGTAGCGGTTTCCCTCAAAGATCATGAAGTCTCCGTCGTGGCTGACCTCTCCTCCCAGAGACCTGCGAGCAACGAGATTAAAGTTACAGACCCCAGCTTTAAACATGTGTTATTGATGAGACTAAAGTTACAGACCCCAGCTTTAAACATGTGTTATTTACGAGACTAAAGTTACAGACCCCAGCTTTAAACATGTGTTGTACCTGATCTTCTCGGCGTCGAACAGTCTTTGTGATGGTCTCTTGAACTTCTTCCTTTTGGCGAACCAGTCTTTCTACAGAAACATCAGGAGACTGAGTTTAAACAGGTCTTTAGTCCAATCACTTCTATTAACACAGGAGTGATGTGTTCTCAGATCAGAGTGACAAAAGAAGGACCAGAGAGAGAGACCAGAGAGAGAGACCAGAGAGAGAGACCAGAGAGAGAGACCAGAAAGAGAGACCAGAAAGAGAGACCAGAAAGAGAGACCAGAGAGAGAGACCAGAGAGAGAGACCAGAGAGAGAGACCAGAGAGAGAGACCAGAAAGAGAGACCAGAGAGAGAGACCAGAGAGAGAGACCAGAGAGAGAGACCAGAGAGAGAGACCTGAAATATCAGAGAGAGCCTCACAAGTTCTCTTTTGACTTGAACCTTTAAGCGAGTGAGGTCATAAATATCTGTGCACCATTTTTCTAATTTTAAATGGTTTCCTACCAAGGATTTTTCAATCTATTTATTCTGCATTTGTTAATAGAAAGTAGTAAGGATCGGGCTGCACGATATTGCACGATATTGGAAATTAGAGCAATATTTCGATATAAGTGTTTAGTATTGCAATCTTTTTTCTTTCACCTATAATTGCAATCTGCATTGAAACGCAAGAGACAATTAACAAACACATTAATGACCTTCAAATGCATATATTTATATACTTTTTTCTTTGTTTGTTGTATTTGTTGAATTTTGTCTTTCTGTTTTGTTGTCTTTAATAAAGGATGTTTTTTTTTATTGCACATGTTTGTGATATGGATATCACACGCACCCATATCACGATAACAATTTTATTTTCATATATCGTGCAGCCATAGTGGGCAGTAAACCGTACTTTCCGGACGATGAGCAGCAACTGTCCCACGCTGTAATATTGAAAATGTCGCTTAAAAACATAATCATGTTCTTATTACTGTGGGAAGTGAGTTCTGTTCTTAAACTGCCAGTAAAGACTTTATACATGAGCTTGGTAAATGTACTGTGTAGCTGTCACTAGTGTTGATGATGTTGGAGTGAAGACACGCAGAGAACACACTGTGACAGTAACACGTCTGTAGTTACCAGACTCATCTTGGCTTTGATCCTGTCCAGGTCGATACGAGGAATCATCTTCAGAGAGATGGTGTTCTGACTGGGCTCCACATAGTCCACCTGAAACACAGACCTTACATTTACACCTGTGTTACACCTGTGTAACAGACCTCACACTACACCTCATTAATCCTGGGTCAGTCTGGTCCTGGGTCAGTCTGGTCCAGGGTCAGGCTGGTCCAGGGTCAGGCTGGTCCAGGGTCAGGCTGGTCCAGTGTCAGTTACCTGCGCGATGTCGTCCTTGTACAGCCCCCTCTTCAGTCGGACCCAGCTCTTGGGCTTGAGGTTGGTGACCTCCTTGACCACCTTCAGGACGTCGGTCATCTCCTTGATAGGAACCATCTGCTGGTTCCACAGACCCATGCGCAGGTTCCCGATGCCCTCGATGGCAGACTTCACATGGGTCTGTTTGTACGACTCCACATAGATATACCCTTTCACATGGTCTGGGGCTACCACCGACTTTATCTGCAGAGGCTGAGGAGGAGGAGGAGAGAGGAGAAGTCAGGAGGTGATGTGCAACTGAGGAGCGAGGAGGAGAGGTGATGTAAAAATGAGGAGAGAGATGAGAGGAGGTGATATACAATACAATACAATACAATGTATTCTTGTATAGCCCTAGGTCACAACAGAAGTCATCTCAGAGGACTTAACAAAACCATTGAAATCACCAACACAGGTCAGAGAATCAACAGTTAAAACACATGAAGAATATAAAGCACACACAGAAAAAAATGTCCATACATGTTGTAGAATGCTAAAGTGTCCTGATCATCACCAATCCTTTCTGTTGGACACTAACTGTCCAACAAGACCCTCCTGCATCGACAAGGAAAAACTCTTTAAAAACCCAGTGGGAAAAAGTGAGAAACCTTGGAGGAGAACTAGGGAAACCCACAGGGAGGGAGACCCATTTGAGAAAGGGATCCGCTCCTCCGGACGGACAGGCTAATGATCTAGGACCTAAGCTAGCTACAGAACGTGGACCAGTGGACGCTGAACGTGGACAGGTCCGGTGCAGGACTGAAGCACTCCCAGGCGGGTCGGGCGGGGAAGTCCGCAGGTGTAGATGTACAGCTGAGGAGAGGAGTTCAGGAGGTAACATACAGCTGTGTGCAGGTGGAGTAGGAGAGAGGAGAGTGGAGATATGCTGAGATCAGACAAGAAGTTAGGAGGTGATATACAACTGAGGAGAGAGAGAAGGAGAGGGGAGGGGAGAAGGAGGTTGTGAAAGGATAGGAAAGAGGAGGGAGAACTTCAACTTCCAAGAGAGAAGGTATCAAAGAAACTCAAAATATAGAGATGGAAATGAATGTAAAAGTAACCTTCAAAAATCGACATTGTTTATAATGTAAATACATTGATATTTGTGTTATCGTGTGTGGTCCTCACTATGTCGGTTAACTGGTGTGTGTGTGGGTGTTATAGCAGATGAGTGGTCCTCACTGTGTCGTGGAGTGTTTTATAGCAGCTGTGTGATTGTGTGTGTGATCCTTACCGTGTCGGTGAACTGGTAGGCAATGAACTTCCTCATGAGGGCGATGGCGGTGGCTCGCTCCTCTCCGATCTGAAACAAAACAAAGTTATTTGGACTGGATACAACACCAAAGTTTGAATTTACTTATTTTGAAGTTACACTGACCTTACACTTGACCGTCCACAGGTTTGGATCTCTGCAATGACAACACAACTGTGAACCAGAGATACACAACTGTGTCTGTGTGCGTGTATGCGTGTGTGTTTAGTGCGTGTCTATGTGTGTGACGTACTTGACCCCCGGCAGCAGCTGCTGTTGTGTGATATCATCAGAGAGCTCCTCTGATCCTCCAGAATAACTGAGACACAAACAACAGTTAGAACAGACTGTGACATCACCAGGTGAATGCGACATCACCAGGACACTCACTGTTCGCCTCCTGCAGACTTGGCGTATTTCCTCATGTAATACTCCCCCAGCGCCTCCTCTCGAGAGTCTCTGCAAATACAGAGAAATTTGTTCATGTGAGAGACCAGAGAGAGACCAGAGGGAGACCAGAGAGGACGACCAGAGAGAATCACTTGATAAAAGACAACAGTGAGTTTTTCATCACTTTCTAAAGGAAAGAGCAGCGCAGGCCTCAGCCCAAGCTCTGAGGTCAGAGCTTCATTCACTCAAACACAGCTGCACGGCTCGTTATGCTGTAAACAGTGAGTGTAGTTTTACCTCCACAGATTCTGCAGTCGCCTGGAGCCTGAGTGATCGTCGTCCAGAGGAATGTGGTCCATATTCGACACTGGCACAAACACATGAAGATCGTTAAAACAAGTCTTTTTACATGTTTCATGTTTGAATGAAATTTTAAACTTTACCTTCTGCATCTTCTGCTCCGGAGCAAAGCCACAGGAGAGGGGGGAGAGGCTAATGAGTGACTGTATAATAAAATTTTTAGTGAGCAACGTGCAAACGGTTCCAAACCTTTCTCCAGAATGTCCTCTCCTCCTTCTTCATACTGCTCCTCGTCTTCGTACTCATCGTCAACGTCTGAACACACAAAAACAGACACATCAGCAACACTGCCTCCGAGTGGACAAAATGGGACATTACACTTTACTTTTATATTTGTATCCTCTCTCCCTAGTCTCTCTCACCGGCTTCGTCCAGGATGAATCCTCCGTGTCGAGGCTTCTTCCTTGGTCGGTCATCATCCTCCTCTTCCTCCTCTTCGTCATATTCGTCTTCATCATCGAGGAGGTCTTCTCCCTCTTCATCAGCAGCTTTGTCACTGCCCACAGGACTGTTTCCCTCCTACATACACATACAGAGACAGACGCACACACAGACACACACACACACACAGAACCAGGATTTTACTTTCAGCTGGGACATATTTTCACAATAACCTGGTACCTCCACCGCACCTCGTGCCTGTCCCTGTCCCCGTTACCTCCAACACCTCCACCACCTCCACCGCCTCCTCCACCTCCCCCGCTTCCTCCACCTCCCCCTGTGCCTGTCCCTGTTACCTCCACCTCCTCCGCCTCCTCTGCCTCCTCCGCCTCCCCGTCGCTGCTCCTCTCGCTCTGGACGTCAGAAAAGTCGCTGTCTTCGCTGTCAGACATGTTTCTGCTCGTCCTCTTCCACCTGAAACCAAAAGCTGTCACTCATCAAGGAGACTAAGCAGAAGTCACCAACGTATGTATTAACAGACCATTTAAATAAAAGATATTTACATGAGAGAAATACTTAAAGCTGAGGTACTTTCTGCTTACACTGTATAATACCCGTCTTTAAAACAGTTGCTTCTGTCACGTTTCATGTATTAGTCTCTGTCACATATTTAGATCTGCTTCATCAGACAGAAGAGTGAAACAGAGAGGACCTCCCATACTCAACCAATGAGCTCTCAGCTGAAGAGTCAAAGAGTGACTCACAGGGCTCTTTCAAAGATGAAGACCGCAGGTTGTGGTCAGATTTTTATTTTCTTGGATCAAACAACAAATTAGGTACTCCAGTTTTAAAGTGGGGGCAGTCACACTTTAAAACTGTAATAGTTCTGAGAGGTCTTGACACGCCCCCTTCTTATTCGACCAATCGATTTCCCAAGACTGACTTTAATCGCTCATGCATTACTTTGGTCGACGACAGCGCAATAAACCAAACAAGTTTAAAAACAACACGGCTAACGCGGAGTTAAGGCGAAGCTAACGCAGCTAGCACAGCGAACCATTCATGCCATTAGCTTCTGTTCAATACTGGCCTCAAACTACAATATTCACACAGTTAGACAATAAAAAACACGCTTGAATAATACGCCAGCTCTCCACCAACGCTCCGGTCCAGTCAAACCACATCCATGTCCTTAAATTGTAAACTTTTCATCAGCTTTCCACATGCTAATGCTAAGCTAACGCCACTCAATAACAATCTCATGCTGTTAGCTTCCACAGATCCCGGGCTTAAATCTGCAATTGTGCCCAAGTTATGAGGCTGGGGGCCCGGGTCGCACCTGTGTTCCCGCTCCTCTGCAGTCAGACCCTCGCTGCTTGCTGTAAAATGTGACTTTAATTCAGATTTTCATTCAGATTTCCACTCGAAGAAACTGCGCTTGTTTCACAGCGTTGGGACGGAGACAGGACCAAGGACAGAGGTCTCACTGTCGACTCCGCTGCAACAGAAACACACTGTACAACATCAAAACAGATAAGTTTACGAACGTACTTTTTAAACTGCGATCTGCACGTATCACTGAATAATTGCATTAAATATATTTGTGGCCCATCGAGCAACACGTTCCAAATTTGTGACATAAGTATAAGTTTGTTATTTTTAATTGTAAACGGATAAACACATGAACCCTTACTAAAAGAGACATTTTAATTATTCATTTTTATGTAATTTGTCTAAAACACAGCATATGTCTGAGAAAAGCCCCACTTAAACCTGCGTCTGTTTTAGGATGACGGTTCTAACCCTTTTCCTTTTTATTTTATCTGACAATTGTTTTTTCATTCAACACTAGAACTCAGTTAAATTGAACCCAAAATGTTGGAGTGGGAGTTAAAGTGTTAAAATCACAGCATGTAAATATCAGTTGAAATAGTGTTTGATAAGAGGGTTAGGGTTTATTGGTTTACTTCCTAAGAGCTACAAGATTAATCTGTTAATCAGCTACATGCGCACATAAATGTATATAAATATATTCAAAACAATTATGTGACTTGAAGTGAAGCTTAAATCACAATATTTACAACCGTAAACTTGAACCAGAGTGATCCTTCTGTCTCTATTCAAACCTTTGTACGTGAGAGGGTTTTTTTCCCCAAACGCACTTAGAAATATTCTCAAAACATAAATATGAATAAAGATAACCAGTAATAACGGGAAATCTGACCGGATTTGGGTAGAAAAAATGTTACAAGCAGAAAACAGTGGCAGAATTGCCAACTTGTTATTAATATAAGTAAATGTGTTAGGGTAAAAACATGACGCAGCGCCAGCCAATCACATGTCCCCGCTCAGGGTGACTTCCGGGTCGTGCTTTTAACTAGACCTGCGTGTTTCTCGGTGTCTCTCTGTCTCTGCGTATTTCCCATTGTCAGCCGGTATCTCCCGGTGTCTGTTCAACATGAACAGTGTGGGGGAGGCCTGCACGGACCTGAAGCGGGAGTATGACCAGTGCTTTAACCGCTGGTTCGCGGAAAAGTTTCTGAAAGGAGACCGGAGCGCGGACCCCTGCGCAGAGAGCTTCCGCACCTACCAGCGCTGCGTCCAGAGGGCGATAAAGGACAAGGACATCCCCGTAGAGGGAGTCCCGTTCATGGGGACGAGCGGGGACAAGGAGGAGACCTGAGGAGGAGACCTGAGGAGGAGACCTGAGGAGGAGACCTGAGGAGGAGACCTGAGGAGGAGACCTGAGGAGGAGACCTGAGGAGGAGACCTGAGGAGGAGACCTGAGGAGGAGACCTGAGGAGGAGACCTGAGGAGGAGACCTGAGGAGGAGACCTGAGGAGGAGACCTGAGGAGGAGACCTGAGGAGGAGACCTGAGGAGGAGACCTGAGGACACCCAGACTGAATGACAGAGCCTCCAGCTGCTTAAGGCTCAGAGACGTCTGCAGTTCTGGCTTCACTCAGGCAGAAGAGTCAGACTCCTGCTCATTTCTACACATGTAGAATCGGAACTTTTATTTATTTATGACCCTTGACCCCTAAGCCTGACAGCAGTTCACGTGTGTCAGGCTTGACCAACCAGAGGACAGACCAGCGCCGCTCCTAATTGGCTCTTTGGTTGTTATGAAGTTGCTATGAGAGAATTTGGCTCCAGACCTGTGTTCATACAGAGGATGGAGCTAAACACAAAGGTCTGATATTAAGGGAAATATATAACAATCTAATTCCACTAGTGTAAGTTCTTTTGTGAAGCACTCAATTACTAACAAACGACTGATATTGATGGAGTTTCGCACGTTTCTGTTTATGTTGACGCTGTTTCCACAGAACAATAAAACAATGTACAAACTGAGTTTATGACATCACTTCTCATTTAACAGATGACAAAGATCAGATCATAAAAGATCATGGATGTGTGTGTGTGTACAGTGGGGGGGGGGAAGTATTTAGTCAGCCCCCAGTTGAGCTGGTGGCTGATTAAAAGATGAGAAAGGGTAATTTTCATCATAGGTAAACCTCAACTATGAGAGACAGAATGAGAAAAGAAAATCACATCCACAACCTCAAACAGTCACTCTCCAAACTCCACTATGGCCCAGACAGAAGAGCTGTCAAAGGACGCCAGAAACAAAACTTTAGACCTGCAACAGGCTGAAAAGACTGAATCTGCAATAGGTAAGCAGCTTGGAGTAATTGTTAGAAAATGGAAGACATACAAGACACTGATAATCTCCCTCAATCTGGGGCTCCACCCAAGACCTGCCTCGATCACAAGAACATTGAGCAAAAATCCCAGAACCACACGGGGGGACCTCGAGAATGACCTGCAGAGAGCTGGGACCAAAGTAACAAAAGTACCATCAGTAACACACTACACGCCCAGGGACTCAAATCCTGCAGTGTCAGACGTGTCCCCTGCTTAAGCCAGTGCATGTCCGTGTCTGTCTGATGTTTTCTAGCATTTGGATGATCCAGAAGAGGATTGGGAGAATGTCACATGGTCAGATGAAACCAAAATATATTTTTTTTGGTAAAAACTCAACTCATGTTTGGAGGAGAGTTGCATCCAAGAGAACACCATTCCCACTGTGAGGCATGGGGGTGGAAACATCATGCTTTGGGGCTGTTTTTCTGCAAAGAGACCAGGATGACTGGTCCATGTAAAGAAAAGAATGAATGGGGCCATGTGTGAAGAAGCCTTTCATGGTCCTGGAGGGGCCTCGCATGGTGGAATGGGCCAAAATACCAGCAACAGTGTCTTAAAACCTTGTGAAGACTTACAGAAAACTTTATTGTAAAGGATATGTAAGAAAGTATTGAGATTAACTGATTTTCTGTCTCTCTCTGGTCTCTCTAGCTGGTCTCTCTTTAGTTCTGTTTTAGTCAATGAAAAACTCGGAAACTAAAGCAGTTTAAAGAAGTTTATTGTTTTGTTAAAATACAAACATTAAAAGTTCGAACTCGTTACGTTTTGTTTCAATAAATGATTTTTTTTACATTCGACTCGGATCAGATCAGATCAGTACCGACGGCCTTTGGTCATTGCACATAAGAAACTACTCCCTTCAGAGGCCAGTCCTGGTCCAGACCGGGGTTCAGTCCTGGCTCAGTCCTGGTCTTGGCTCAGTCCTGGTCCTGGCTCTCTCCTTGGCCTCCTGGATTTGCTTGTTCTCCTCGTGCCGCTGAAGCAGGCGGTGGCGGTGAGGGCGATCCGGCTCAGGCCCACGTTGACGCAGTGGAGCTCGTTAGTGACCGGGACCTGAGCGAACAGGGACCGGTCCCGCGGCAGGTCCCAGGTCTGGTCCATCTCCAGGTCCTTCAGGACGTTCAGGACCTCCACCCGCTCCGACTGCCGGGTCAGTCCACGCAGACTCAAGATGGCTGACACATGCTTCCTCCTGCACACAGCGGCAGACCTTTAGGGCACGGCCACATGTGTTTTTACAAACAAACTAGCAAGTGTGAGATGGGTCTTTCTCCAATGTGCAGCAGTGTGTGTGTGTGTGCGTGTGTGCGGCGCTTTTGGAGTAAACAGTGTGAGCCTGAGTAATGAATGAAAGAAAAAGTGCAGTGAATGTTGATGTGTTCTGACCACATAAAAGTCTGATTCTTGAATGACAGTGTTGTTGCAATAGCACCACACTGTGACAGCGAGCGTCAGGACAGAAGGGAGTTCTTCCGTAGGAGACACATCCCTTCAGCCCTGGAGCCACAAATCTCAACCGTGCCCAACCCCAGTTGCTGTGGTCACATACAGTAGCACCTAAAGTCCGGATCTATTCCCATTCTGGGCTTCGGCCCACTTTAACTGGGCTTTAGGTTGTGCCTGTGACTGCAGCCTTAGAACTGCTTTAGTCCTGCTTTAATCCTGCTTTAGTCCTGCTTTAATCCAGTCCAGGGCCGGTCTTGATCGGGTCCTGGTCTGGTCTTGGTCCGGTCCAGTACCTGAGGTCTGGGTACTCTCGTAGCAGGACTCCCACTTCCATCTGGATGGAGGGGAGGTCCTCGAGGTCGATGATCTCTGAGAGGTGAGAGAGCGCCCCCTGGAGCCAGCTGCAGGGAGAGTCCTGCACAAAGGGAGGGGCAGATAAGAGAGATGGGCTTGTTCACACTAAAGGGTACAAAAGTGTGACAAAAGACCATAAAATAGATTTAATAATCAGAAGATATATGATGTTTGTCATGTATCCAAACACCTCTTCTGTCCATTTGGAGTCTGTGCAGTCTGAAACATGAGTCGTTCTACGGCGGCTCTGTTTGTGTCACGGACCTGATCCACTGAATGAGCTGCAGAAGTTATTTACATATTTTCAGATCCACATTTGATTCACAGATTCCAGTAGAAACAAAGTGATTACTTTCATATAGTAGTAAACCAATTAAATGTGATTACAGAACATATTTTTCCTCAAGTCTTTTTATCGAAATTTGTTACACATTTTTCAAGGGTCATTTAAATTTGTATTGATTATTTTTTTAAATCAAGTGATTTCCTGATGTTGTGTTGGCCATGTTCATCTGTGGGAGTTCATCTGCCACTGATCTATGTAACTGAGTCACAGCAGAATGATCAAATCTGAGGCTGATTTGGTTGTTTAGAATAGACACAGACAGGACACAGACAGGACACAGACAGGACACAAAATGTATACATATTGTAACTTCTTAGCTAGCTTTAAATTGTGTGCGTGTCTGCGCTTGTGTGTGTGGATTTGCATGTTCTCCCTGTGTACATACCAGTTGTGAGAACAGCTGGGTGATGGCAGCCCCCTCCTCCCTCAGTCTCATTGCAGTCTTTCGTCTCATTTTGGACGAAGTGCAGATGAGCCGCCCTCTCATCACAGCACGAAGGTATTCTACAACCACACGCCGATGGAGGTCTCCCACCAGGAGCTGGGGGA